TGCATGTGTATGTCTTCCCACTGTGGACAAAAAGGGGGTCACATATTAAACCCGATAAGCTCAGGGGAGGCCTGCATGGCAGTCTTACAAACTCAAAGACCAAAGGAACCACAAAGGATGGTCTGAAATCAAAACTTTTTAACTAAAAGCAGTTTATGGCAGGTAAGCATGTCCTAAGGTGGTATTTTTCCCAAATGAAGATCATTCTTTGCCTTAACTGAGCCTGTCCCTTGCCTTTTTGCATCTAAGATAACATTCCTTCGGAATATCAAAGTAATTTCCTTCCCTCCCCACAAAACAAACAAACAAAAAACCCTCAAAGCACAACCACCACACCAGAGCAAAGACCACAAATCCCCTCATTGTTATTGTTGACTGTTATTGTTAATTGTTGACTGTTAACTATTCTATCCCCACAAATGAAAAAGTGTCTGTTCTTTTTACTTTTTATCCAATTTTGGAGATTTTCCTGTTTGTTTTCTCCTGCCTCCCTAGTCGATCAACAATGGATTTCATGTAACTCCCTTAGGGCCCTCTCTTTTGATTGTAATGTATAAGGTGCCAAACTGCCATTTTCCAAGCATTTTCTCAATCCATTGTGATTTTGCTTCCCAGCAATTATCGTCAGTTTGGCCCAACCAAACTCATGAAAATTCTTACAGGTTTGGGCATTTCTTATGTTAACATCCTGAACTGGACGGATCATTAAAGAAAGACTATGACTCGCCATTCCCTATGGTATTACCTTAAGAGACAGTCCCCCAAAGTACGTACATTCATCATAGAAACAGAAATTCCACTTATAACGTACAGGATCGTCTCATTAACCTTGCACCTGTACTCCCTTCCCACACTTAGCAACCTGGTTTATTCCGTGTGGTGGAGAAGGAAGCTAGGTTGGCTGGATGGGAAGGGAATGGCGTCAGCGTGAGGTCACGCCACATTGTCCCGAATTTCATCTCCAGTCTGCGGTGACATTAACACAGAATTGACAGAGGAGCGGCTGGAGGAAAGATAGAGGCCAAGTAGCGCAATCTACAAGCAATAACAGGGCAGGACACAGAATAAAGTAGGGAACCTCGTAGGGTGAGGCAGGTAACCTGCGCGCCAGCAGCAGCGCCAGCGGCGAAGGAAAATAGACAGCGGGGAGCCACCTAGTCGGGCAGGATGGGGCGGGACATCCGGAAGCCATTTGCCCGAGTGGCAGGGGAACCGGAAGTGGGGGTGCTGCCGCTGGTGCTCGGGAGAGGAGGGACACACGGAGCGGGACCGCCGGGAGTGAGCGAGCGACAGACACGCCACCCGCCCACGCCGCAGCCGCTTGGGGACCGGTCGGACCCTCTGCCTGAGTAAGTACCTCCAGAGTCGCCGAGAGTCTGTGGTTTAGAGGTGGGGATTGGAAGGGGCTGCGATTTATTATTGTGAGAGGCCCGCGGCCTCCCCTCCCCCACCCTCCCGGGGCCCTTTCCCGCCCCCACCCCGCCGAAGCAGCCCCTTATGGGGCCTCGTGCGCGCGCCTTCTGCGCCGGCAGGGTGTTGGTTCCTTAGCGGCCCTTGCAGTCGCCGGGCCTGCGGGCCGCTCGCTGGCTCCCTTGGAGCCTTTCCCCAGCACCCCACCCCCAAACCTGTCGATCCTTTACAGCTCGCTGCTCCCTCCATCCCGCCTTTTCGGTTGGAGAAATACCACAGCGGGGCGCACCGCCGTCCCCGGCCCACCCCCAGAGGAGGCCTCCCTAAATCCCAAGCCCTCTTTGGCCGGTGGTTTGCCGCGGCGAGCACCCTTGTAGGAACTTTTCTCCCTCCAGTCTCAGCTATTGCCTTCTCCCTCCATCCCCGATATTGCACTTCTGACCCTCCTCTCCCCTTTCGTCCTGTCTGCGAGGCCTTTAACGCGGCCCAGACCAGTTGGTTACTCCCTTTTGTTGAAAAAGCTCAACCCTTCAGGAACTTCTCCATTTCCTCCTCCAATATATTTTTTAAATCCATAGGCTGTTAGGATTCAGAAAAGATTGTCTCCACCGTAGCACCTTATTTTAGAGATGGAGCTCAGCGAGGTTAATTTGCCCAAGGTCAGCCAGCTAGTTAAACCTACCAGTGGACAGACTTTCTTAGGGATTTTGTTTTGTTTTGTTTTGGTTTGGTTTTGGTTTTTTAACCTGGTCCGTGTCCACTTTACAGATCAGGATCTCTGGTGTACAGGTTTGTGATAGACCCGTTGCATGGTTACTCGCTGTTGTGCTTTCCATAGCTACCTCCACCCCAGCGTTGCTTTCTCATAACTTAACATTTCAACACAAACCTTCAGAAAACCAAACACTTGAAATTTTGCCTCTTTTTAGAGCTTACCCATGAAGAAAGGGAAGACCACCTGGACCCCACCCTAGAACCTCATTTTATACATCATTAAATTGGGGGAGAAGAGATAAAGGTGTGGATAAAGAGGAAGGAGAAAATACAGATGATTATCTTACCTGAACTTCTGAGTTGCCTTTGCCTTGGATATGCCTGTGTCTTTAAATTCTTCTCCTGGGCACATTGTTCTGATATAAAGGTTGCCTCCTTGTAGGGGAGCAGGGGAGGAGTAGGAAATCATTGTGCTTTAATTTGTTGGCTGGGGCATTTGATAATAAATTATGGATGTGCTGGAACCTGGAGAGTTTCACCCTTCAGCGCTCGAGGCAGGGTATTCAGGGTGAGGCTTACCTTCCCCTTCAAGAATACCCTGCCAGCTGCCTCTGAAATAAAATGAAGAGTCTTAGGTCAGAGTGCAAACATTCTGAATCTTTTCATTCTTAGTGCAGCTTTCCCCCTCCATCTGTTTCCTGGTTAGCTAAAAAAACATCCAGCTCAGCTTGAGAATTTGTAATTCTTTGCTGTTGGAACTGATTTCTAGTTAGGCCCATTACACTGTGCAGTTGTAAGCATCTGGAAATTGTGGTGTTATGCTCTCACGGTCCAAGGTAAGGAGAGAAGATAGAACAAGCAGGAAAATTGGGATATGCTGTGCAAGTCTCTTACTCCTCATGTTCCCAGAGAACTCATTTTAATGAACAATTAAAGCTTCTCTGGAATAGTCTTTCTTGGTCAGTTAACAAAACTTTTCTTCAGGCCTTTGTCTCCATTAGGCTGGGTTTTTATGATTGATTGTGCTTTTTGTGATCTCAGAAATGAATGCTGCACAGGAGAGATTATTATGAATCAGTAAGGTGAGATGGGAGTAAAATCCTTCCCTATTGGTGCTTTTTTGGTGTGTTACTGATTACAGCTTGACCATTCTGAATACCACTGTTACATATTGCTCTCTACCTGAGGGAGAAACACTCAGATTTTTGTGACCTACCACAGGCTGTTCTTAGGATAGCTTTTCATTTATTCTTCATTTTTATTGCAAAGGACACACTTTATTTTCCCTAACTCCCAAATTATTTGATTCTTCTAAGTGTATATTCCCTTAGGTTGTATATTTTCAGCCTTGCTCTTAAAATAGGAGATTGCATGGGTTTGTAGCTGTTTGTCTTTACCTGCTATTTTAAAATGTTACCAAGCCATAGGGATCTGTAAAACTGAAAGCTACTTTGTATTATGAGATTTTGATTTGTCAAAACAATACATAATCCAGGTATCTGAAGGCACAAAGAAAAAAGTTTTTGCTCAGATACTTAGCCATTGTGGAGAAAGAACGATGACCTCGTATTCACAGTTAAAAAAAAAATAGCTAATTGGGAATATGTGATTTTCTTCCTGTTAGTCTCAAATAAGTGACATTCTGTTTCTCAGTTTCTCTGTACATTCAGCTTTTCATTTTACCCATGAAAAAAATGTAGGATGAAGGTGAAAATATTTTGCTCAGGGTATCAAAATGCCATTAAATTAGGGTAGTAGTAATAGAAGATATAAGTAAATTGACCTAGTAAATTAGAATTTGTTGTACCATTTGCTCTTCTCTGACGTTCTTTGCTTAAGAGTAATAGGCTTTGGAGGTATATCACCCAGAGTTGTCCCAGCTGTCCCGATCATGGAGTTCCTTAAAACTGAGCTTTACTTTTATTTTTAAATAACAAAGTTCCTAGCACAGTATGTTGTATATAGTAAGTTCTTAGTAGTTCTTAATTGCAGTTATTTTAGATCAGTTGTTTACCTGTTGGAGGAACTCTGAAAATCCATGTCTGTAAAATGAATCATAGATGTAAGGAGAGGGTGCCCAACCTATGGCCCACAGGCTGCATGCAGCCCAGGATGGCTGCGAATGAGGCCCAACACAAAATTGTAAATTTACTTAAAACATGAGATTTTGTGTGTGTGTGATTATGTGTTGTACTGTATTTAATGTGTAGCTCAAGACAACTCTTCTTCCAGTGTGACGCAGAGATGCCAAAAGTTTGGGCACCCCTGGACCATCAGCCTTGAAAGTAGATACGTGCAGCCCCTGGGATGCATAAGATGATATGTTGTAATACAGGAAAAAATTTAGAACTTTCTCAATTTATTTTTTATGTATTAAAAAAATAAACCTTAGTAATATATATATTATATGTTATATAGGTTAACCCTATAATTAACAATACAATATACAGATTAACAGTAATTCACATTTAATTTGTAAATAATTGAGGTGTATTTTAAAAAGATTTTTTAAAATGTTTGGATCCCACTAATCTGAACCAGTTTTTACTCACGTGCTTTAGTTCACTTTATGCTTTCTTATTAGGTGTTCACCTAGCTTCTTTTTGAATCTCTGTTAGAGGAATCTACCTTGAGAGACAGGCCATGCTGTTTTTGTAGTCATATTTGTTCAAGATTTAACTTACTCTTTCTTTATGGCCCTGTCTTCCTCTCTGGGGACATGCAAATAAGTATAATATCCCTTCCTAGTAATCTTCAGATACTTGGGCAGCTATTTATGTCCTGTGTCTTGCTCTTCCCCAGCCAATTTTTCTATAGATATCCATTTTATACACATCCATTTTTTTAAAAACTATTCTAATATGGCTGGTTTTAAAATTTCTTACCATCTTGGCTCCTTTCCTCTAGAGACTCTCCTGTTGTCAAGATTCTTTGTTAGTTTTTCAACAAGATCTGGACAAGGTATCCCAAGAACTGAAAGGAGCTTAAGGGCCTGCATTTTGTCTTTAAGTGGTGAGGGAGCTATTATAAGGTACCTAATATTGACTACTTGTCACTCTTGTTCTTTAAACAGTCCCCAGTAAAAATAGTTTCAATTATATAATAAAATAGGACAGATTGTTTTTCTCCTTCGGTAGTGATCCCTCGATTATACTCTCAATTAACTCTGTGTAAGTTAACTTTTGCCTCAAAATATCTACCTTGTTGTTTCCCCAGGTGATGAAATAAATAACAACGTGATGAAATGATTGGGTTACTTAAATCTATTTTAAAAGTTAGGAAATAGGCTTGTTCAATTAGTGGATGGAAAATGAAGCTGTTGTACTATGTCTTTACATTATCTAATTTTGAAATCCATAAGATGGGAAAAATTGGTTGCCCTTTGTTTTAGGCAAGTAGAACTTTTAATTAGCAGGGAAGTTACCTTTTTTTAAAAGAAGTTTTTACTGTTCAAATACATTAGTCTCCATTTTCTCACCACCACTTTCCCCTGCCCCACCTCCCACCCTCAATCCTTCCCCACTGTGGCTTTGTCCCTGAGCCCTTTATACATGTTCCTTGACTTGACCCTTCCCCTTCTTTTCCCCATTACCCTCCTCCCTCCCCTCTCATTACTGTTGCTTTGTTTTTTCTTTCAATGTTGCTGGTTATATGTTTTTTACTTGTTTGTTTTGTTGATTAGGTTCCATTTATAGGTGAGATCAGAAAGTTACTTTTTAAGTTAAAACTACTAAACATTATTTTGTATTTAACCTGAATAGCCAGACTTAAATCTAAAATTGAACTTAGACCCAAAGACACTTTTATATCGAATATATAGAGGTTTTATGGGCTGAAAACACAAGCAAAAACCCAAGATTAAACAGTTCTATGTGGCTATTTGTTATAGTCCGTTTAATCATTGTTCTTTTTCCCTTATGCATCTTTTAATTTTCCACACCTTTTTAAGACAGTGATACCCCAAACAGTTACCATAGATACATAGATACCATAGAAACAGTTACAGATAGTCTGATTGGAGCTATACAAATTCACCTTGCAGTCCTTCCTGATTCTTGTATTTTTACACCTATTTTTAGCTCAACGTAGTATTTACATATGTCTTCTGAATGAAATGTTTATAGATAAGGCCCCCTTTAGGGAGTCACCATGAACTTTTTTCTGATCAGTGGACCAGATGTGACATTAGTGGGTAAGACAAATCTAATTTCAGTCAAAAATTGCCTGTTCTTGGTTTTCCTCATTTTTGCAGCACTTCTATGAGGATTGGAAGTGGTAGGTATAAAACGTAACACAAATAGTCCTTCACACGTAGCTATATTTTCTGATCATCACAAATTTTAGTAATCTAAAGAACTATATACATAGGATGTGGGTGGTTTTTTTACATCTTCAGTCAGATATAACCCTAAACCTAAGCCTCATATTTTTAAGACCTAGTATCATTTGGAATTGAGCTAATTTGTTTGTATGGTTACTGGTAAAATGCAATCCTCTCTCTAAGAAAACTTAACTGTATTTGAGAATGCCAAAAGAAGGAAAAAGCCTCCTTTTTTATAAGCCACAAAACCTGAGATTTTTCTTTTATATCATCCTTTGCATTTGCCAGGTGATCTCTCGAGCCTCGTGTCTGAAGTGTGTTTTTTCCATTGCTGGTTGAAAACAACCTAGTTTCTTATTTGTCTTTCTAGAAGATCAGAATTTCTAATTTTTCTGAATTTCACATATTCTTCTCCAGTAACAGATGCCATATCTAGGCTCATTGTTAATAAAATGTCCTTAGTGGAGACCTGTCAGAAGTAAAAATACCTAGTAAGTGTTCGTCAAAAACCAGACTCAAAGCCTGTGGTCAATTTTATTGTCATAGGTAATATAGCTGTTTGTGTGATCCTAGTAACTGGTAGATTCTAGTCATTGCTGTTGTAATTTTTAAGTGTGTAGTTAACGTCCTAAAAGCCTTGTGTCATTTGGAAGTAACAGTAAAATATAATCATTAAAAATCAATATAGATGTAAAGTGTATACTTGGAATAGATGTTTTAAATGTAATGCATTGTTCCTAAATGATACTCAAACCTGCCTGAAAGTTTAGTGTTGCTAGATATTTATGGGACTTTAGCAGTTGTGTCTTGGAATTCATCCCTGCTGAAAATAAAGTCCAGTTGTTTTGTTTCTATGAAAAAACACCACAAAACTTAAGTTTTATTATTTAAAACCTGGTGTGCAGTATTTAAGTAAACAATAACAAGTGAATATTCCTGTTAATGAATGAAACATGACAGATATTTTTTTCTTTAGGTGTAGAATGAGCCAAGGAGACTCAAACCCAGCAGCCATTCCACATGCAGCAGAAGATATTCAAGGAGATGACAGATGGATGTCTCAGGTAAAAGGAAATGCACGTGTATTATTCACATGAAATGAATCTCTTCTGTTTTTTTAAAGTTTTTGGACTAAAGCCGCAAAGGGGTATTTTTAATGGTCAGTAAGAATTTATTACTGTAAATAAAATTTGACATTAGAGATCTCGTACCTAATCACTGTCTGATGTTGGAACTGAAGAATATTTTGAAAACATGATAATTGCCCTTTGTTAATTTTAAGACATAGCAATGTCTCTATAGTATTCTTTCTGTAAGCTTTTTAAAATTTTTGAAGTGATTTTAAAATAACACAAATACAGTACTACAAAAATTTTCAGAAAGAACTGTATGTCTTCCATCTGCACTTGTCAGTTAACATTTGTCACATCTGCCTGATTGTTGTTTGTATCTATTTGTATGTATACCCAAAATGCTGGGTTTTTTTCCCCTGAACCATTTGAGAATAAGTTGTAGTGACCATGCCCTTGCATCTCAAAATATCTGTGTTTTCTAAGAAAAATGACTTTTTTTATATAACTATATTATAGTTATTAAAGTCAGGAAATTTAATATTGCTATTACACTGTTACCTGATCTCAAAACCATATTCTGACTTCTCCAGTTGTCTCAATAATGTTCTTTATATCATTTTTCTCCCAAGTCTGGAATGACACAGTGCATTTATTTGTCATATCTCTTTATTCTTCTTTAACCTGAAACATTTCTTAGACTTTGTTTTTTATTACATTGACAGTTTGGAATAGTATAGGCCATTCATTTTGTAGAATCGCTCAATTTTGAGTTTATCTTTTTTCCTCATAATCAAGATTCAGAATATGCATTTTCGGCAGGAATATCAGTGAAGCGATGTCCTCAATGTATCACATAGAAAGCACACGATGTTGGTTTGTCTCATTGGTGATACAGTGAGTCCTCACTTATTATTGCCAATAGATTGGTGTGACAAACAAAATGGTGTATAATGAAACCAATTTTACTGTAGGCTAATTGATAATAAACAAGAGTTGAATTCCTACAGTATCTCATCAATATTACAACAAAATAACATGGAATGAAATGACATTATTTGATGATCTGCTGTATTAACTTTAATTACTTGGTTAAGATAGTGTTGGCCTAAATCAATTCTTATTTTTTATAGTATGGATCCACAGGTTCTTATATTATTCGGTGGGTTATAAGCCATTGTAATTTTGAAGCTCAAATTGTCCTAGATTTTCCAAGTGGGAATCTTTTAAGCTGGACCCTCTGTCTTCTTCATATGTCCCATTGTTTTTTTAGCACTTTATTTTCTTCAGTATTCTTAGCTTCCTTTTAATAAACTGTTATCACTTAACAGTAGCTATATTTAACCTTTATCTCTTACTTTACCTCTTTGAAATAACAAGTTGCTATGATTTCAAGTTCCCAAAGTTTCATGTTTTAGTATTTAGTGATTCTGTTTATACTCTGCTATATTATTTTCTTTGTTTTTGTCTTCCCAGGCTTAAAAATCAGTCTCTCAACCAGCTTATTCTGAGTGGTAGTTAGGTTTTTTCCAGCCGTTTGCGTATGGATTAACTACTTGATTATTCTTACTTAATCTTACTCAATTATATCTTTAAAGAAATATTATGAAATATTTTGAGCATTGATGTATTTTCACAGACCCTAAAAAAATTTTTTTTTTTTGATAATAGAATTGCTGTTCCTGGTATACCTCTCACTGAACACATTTCTTTCTCTTTCCTACTTCTACCTCCCAAACCAGTATCCTGAATTTGGGTTTGTTTTTTATTTTTTCATGTATTTACATACTAGTTATTTGTAATCTCTTTTTGTAATAAGTGCATTATTGTGTGGGCAGTTGTCAGATTATAATGTTGTATACCTGGAACTGATATACTGTTACTAAACCAATGTTACCGCAATAAAAAAAGTTTTTTTAATAATATATAGCATTTCTTGCATGTTTTAAAACTTTATGTAAATAGTATGTTTCTGAATGTAATTTTCTACAGTATATCATACATGTTAAAAGTGTAGCTATAGTTTCTTTTCTCTCTAAAAAGTATTCCATTGCTCTGTGTGAAAACACCACAATGGATTTGTCCAGTTTTTTCATTGATACACACTTAGGTGATTTATAACTTTATTAAAAGTAGTAACTAAAAATAAATGCTTTTATTTTTCCTGGCACAAATTAGTAGGCCTTAAATAATTAGCAGTGACTGGAAAAAAATAAGTCAAGGAAGAAAAAACAGTGATGAATATTAAAATTTTTTTAAAACTTGTATAATATGGAAGGACTGACTTCATTAATTATTAAAATATACACACAGATTTTGATTTTTAAATATATTTCTCCAGTGATAGGAACCAGAGCTTCTTGGGGAAATGATTGAGTCTACAACTGGAATAAAAAAAATAAAAGATGAGCCTGGTGCATCTTGTAATGCAAGAAAGCTCAAAAAAAAAAAAAAGAAGGAAAAAAGGATGGCAGGAATATCACTGAAGTGATGTGTCCTCAATGTGATGGTTTGTTTCACTGGTGATAGTAATTTTGACTATTAGGAGCCAGCTTGATAGAACAGCCAAAGTACAGAGATTGAAAATTTGAGCAACATAATAAATGATGATACTGGTTTATAACTCAAAAAATAAAATAAATATTTATGAATCCCATTGTATAAATAAATGATTGGATGAACAAATAAGTAGGGAAGGAGGGACAAGTCTTCCTTACAGAATAATTTTAATACAGGAAAAGAAAATTATGATAAGTTCTCACTGGTGCGGCTCAGTTGGTTGGGCATTCTTCTCACAAAATGAGAGGTCAGTGGTTCGATTCCTGGTCAGGGCATGTACAAGAGGCAGCCAATCGATGTTTCTCTCTCATATTGATGTTTCCCTCTCATATTGATGTTTCCCTCCTTTCCTTCCCCTCTTTCTAAAAATAAATAATTTTTAAGAAAGAAAATTATGGTTAGAACACCATTTAATAATTACTGTAGGCAGGATCAGTTGATGAATACTGAAATTAGTGGACACTTTAAGGAGGAACAACAGTATATTTGTCTAGCCTCAAAGTATTTCCCTGTGAATTGCTTTGGTGGTTTTAATATACAGCCACACATCTTTTGATACCCTTCTTTCCAGGAAGTGAAGCTTAGTTCCCCATACCTTTAGTGTGTGGGCTGGAGTTAGTGTGTCTCTTCCAACAAGCAGAGTATGTAAAGAAAAATAGTAACTTTATCGTTGAGAACTGTAGCAAACACCACCCTAACCAAATGATTGATGTTAACTTTACTAGTAATAAGCTATATTGCTATCATGTGCCCCCTGATAAAACAAGAGCACATCACCTTTCTGATAGTCTTTAAGAAGAATTTATTATCTCAGTCTATTCATGAGAAAACATCAGACAAACCTGTGTTGCAGGACATTCTCCAGAACTCCTGACCACAACATGTCAAGGTGATGACAGAAAAGGAAAGACCAAGAAACTCTCCTGTTTTGGAGGAGGCTAAAGGAGACACGTAAATTAAATGCAACACAATATCCTGGATTGGCTCTGGGAACAGAAAAAACATTAATTGAAAAATTGGTGAGATTTGAATAAACCATTTTAGTTGGTAGTATTTACCAATGTTAATTTTTAGTTTTGACAAATGTACCATGCTTATATAAGATGTTGGAAGAAGCTAAGTGAAGGATATAATATTCAGATGACAGTCGACACTACGCTTGAACCTTGAAGTATTGTCAAAATATGAAACCCTAATGTAGAGTTAACTAACACATACCAGGAAATACCTGAAACAGATGAACAGGTTCACCACCACCACCACAAGGACGCAAACAGCAAAATCCAGACTATAGGTCAAATAGACATATTCCTTAAAAAATAATTTTGGGGAAAGAAGTTTGAAAGATGGTGACAGAGGGAGTGGGAAGCTGTAGATTAAAAGGGATCTAAGAGACAAATTAGGTCCTGATTTTTAAAAAGACTAAAAATATTGTGTGACATTGAATTTGAATACACTATTAATATTATTTACTGTTAATTTGGAGGAGAATAAAATTGGTATTGTGATTATGTATTTTTTAAAGTCTTTAAGAGTTCCATTCTGAAATAGTTATTCATGAAATGCTGTATCCTCAGTTTGCTTCAAAATAATCTGGGGATGGGTGGGTTGAGGTAGTAATTTGGGAAATAACTGAAATAATACTGGCAGTAAGTTCAATGATTGCTGTAGCTGGTGATGGATGCATTGTGTTCCCCTTTTATGTATGTGTGATATTAACAATAAAAGGTTTTTAAGGATATTGAAAGACGACTATAGATAAATTTAATACAAATCATATCAAAACATTAACCAAAAAATGTAGACTCAGCAACAGACTGAGGGAACTACTTGCAGTAAATATTAAAGATGAAGCATTTATATTTTTTGTTATAATATCAATAACAAGGTTCTTAAGGCATCACTAGGTAAGTATTTCAATAAACATGATGGGATGTGTTTAATTTTCTCTTTCCAAAAAGTACAGATTAAAACAATGGAAAAAGAAAGGAGGGAGAGGAAGAGAAAAATATTAACATCCAATGCAGGAGCAAGTGTGGTAAAACCAGTTCTGATACATTGCTGGAGTCAGTATAGATACAGCCTTTCTATTAAGAATTTGGAAATATATCCAAGGTTTATGAAAATGATAATCCCCTTTGATTTAGGAATTCTCATAATGTAAAAAATGAAATATATGTACATTTCTTCAACATAGTAAATAAGAAACCACTGGCAAATCTTAATAATAGGACAAAGCTTAAAAAATATGTGCTGTAGGTGCATTCAGTAAGATATTATGTGGTTGTTAAAAATTATGGTTTTGAAAATCACGTAGCTACATAGAGAAATACATCTAGTTTAATGTTAGGTGCAGTTGTTATGGCTGCTATTTATTGAGTACCTACAGGGTGCCAGCCAAAAGCTGGGCCCCTTTCTTAGAACTCTTATCTTCACAACTCGGAGTTGCCAGCAAAGGTGAAAAAGAAGGCTTGGATTATGTACTTTCTTAAAGTTACTGGGCAAGAAGCTAAAATTTGAACACAGGTTTCCAGTTCCCAGCCCCGTTGTGCCAGAAGGAGCTATACATGATGATTCAACTATGGGGTGGGGACGGGGTATGTGGAAAAAACGGTGATAATATCCCAAAATGGTAAGTTACCAAGGGGTTGAGGTGGTAGGATTATAAGTGTTTTGTTTTATTGCAGCTGCTTTTATACTTTAAAAGAAATTGTGAAATACTATAATCTTTACAAGAGCAGAGCCTAAATTCTATGACATGCTATAAATGAGCTATTTTATTGGTATTGAAAGGTAGTTGATACTATATATAGTACATGCAGTAGAAAGTTGACATGATGGGAAAGAGCACCTGCTCACTAGCTAAAGTTATATTTTTGCTCATTTATCTCTTCATTTTAAAAATACTTATTGAAGCAATAGTAATTTTTTAAAAAAATTATGCAAGATATGGAAGTGAGAAAAAAGAAAAAGCTATCCCATTTTCTGTTACTCTGAGACAGAAGTTGTCTTAATAAATTGTCAAATTATTTCTAGAAGTATTTTTATATTTTCACCTATAGCAAATGAATGTTTCAGTTTCACCACAGTGTCATCTGCCACTGATATTATCAGCAGATATACTTAAATAGTACCTCTCCCTTAATTCCTAAGGGGAGCGTAATTGAGGGTAGTTTGAGAAAAAGAAACAACATTCAGACCTTTCCCTGTAACTGGGTTAGAGAACTGTTGCCTAAAGCATTATGTAAGTTTGTTTCAGGGATGAACAAAAATCTGAAGCATTGATGGGTAAAATCCATTTTAAAAAGTGTCTTGTGCCTTTAGAACAAAGAGAAGCATTCCAGGACTAAGTCACCACTGCTTATAACCTTGAATTAGACAAAGGCTTGAGTCCTAGTTTGCAAGTGTCTCAGATTTGGAGTTAACAGGCATTTTCAAAGACATATTAAAAACATCCAAGTAAATTACATGCCTCTCAACTGGATAGATAGTAATCCAACTCTTGGAACAATTGGAAAGGTTGACTATGGACTAAGTGTTAAGAGTTTATGGAGTTGTTTATTTCTTAAATGTGATAATAGTCTTGTGGTTTTATAGGAGACTGCCCTTTAGGATTTGCATGCTGAAATATTTAAGGGTGCAGAATCACAATGTTTGCAACTTAACCTTGAAATGGTTCAGCAAACGCACATATGGATAAAACAAATACGGGAAAATGTTATTGTTGATTATGGAACATGTTAAGATGTTTATTGTGTTTAACTTTTCCGCATGTATGTCTGAAATTTTCTTTTAAAAGCTTAAGGAAAAAATAAATTTTAAAAACCTGTTAAATATATTTTTCTATTTTGGTTTCAGTAAAATTGTGGTTTTCTTGAGTATACCAGAATGGTCAGTGTTGTAAGGATGGGAAGAAAGTTCGAGCAGTTTATTGCTGATCAAGTGGAATAGCTTAAGGGACAGACCAAAGAGAATGTTTAACAATAGAGTAACTGGCTGGACAACTGTTCTATCTAGGCCAAGAAATCTCGAGGGGAAAGAAATGCCAGTTTCTGATTTTTCTTTCTTCTTCAAACTAGCACAACAGATTTGTCCTGGACTGTAAAGACAAAGAGCCTGATGTGTTATTTGTGGGGGACTCCATGGTGCAGTTAATGCAGCAATACGAGGTAAAGTGGGGTGGCTCTTGGCTACTAATGTAAATCCATTTATCACTGGCAGACTTTCGTTTTGATCTGGACCTATAGACTTATGTATGACACTATAGAAAAGCTCTAGTTCAGAGTATAAGGGATTTCAGACATACCTGATGTAATTCTTTGTGCCACTAAGCATAATGAAACAAAAAATGTTAGCATCATTTATAATTAAACCTCTTTTTTTTGCCTTGGCTTCCAAGGCAGTACATTACATTTACTATGTGTGTCCTAGTGATGATTTTCAATTCTTGTTTGTATTTTACTATTTTATTTCTTGTATTTGCTTATTTTTGTTTGTCCTAGTCATGATTTTCAGTTTTTACTATTTGTGTTTTACCATTTTCTTATTTATTTTTGTAGTGGACTGTTGCAGTTTTGTTTTTAAGGCTTTAAAAGTTGATAAGGCTTTTTTTGAAGCAAAGTTTAAAAGAAAAGATAGCTTTATTTCTTTCTGGCTACAGGCACTCTTAAATTTCATCTTGTGTTTCTGCTTCACCGTGTTCCTTTAAATGGCTGAATAAAGGGAAGGGAGAGTTTATTGAGTTGGCAACTTAATTATAAATGTTGCTACTTTTTAAGGGGCAACAGGTTGAGTTATGATTCAGTTCTTAAATTGACACATTGGCATCCTCAAAGTCCTTCAAACTGTGAGTAGTCCACTATTTGCAGTGTTATATTTGAATACAGAAAATGGAAACATTTCATATGCTCATAACAAACACATGGCAATTAAGAGATTTTATTTACCACTAATTTTAGTTTAAATAAATAGAATTTTTCTGTTTTTAGATATGGCGAGAGCTTTTCTCCCCTCTCCATGCACTGAATTTTGGAATTGGAGGAGATACAACAAGACATGTTTTGTGGAGGTTAAAGAATGGAGAACTGGAGAATATTAAACCCAAGGTAAAGTAAATGTATTTTTTAAAATACGTATTTGCCCTGGCTGGTGTCAGTCAGTGGATTGAGCACTGGCCTTTGAATCAAAGTGTCGCTGGTTCAATTCCCAGTCGGGGCACATGCCTGGGTTGCGGGCCAGGTCCCCAGCAAAGGGCGTGCAAAAAGCAACTACACATTGATGTCTCTCTCCCTCTCTTTCTCCCTTCCTACCCCTCTGTTTAAAAGTAAATAAATAAAATCTTTAAAAAATATGTATTTTTTTATTTAATCTTTATTATATTTTTTTCCATTACCATTTAGTCCCCTTATACTTTCCTCCCCCTAGTAAACATATATTTTTTTTTTAATATCATTAATCTTGAGTCTTTTTCAGATAGTTAAATTGTCTGAGACTGGTAGTAAAAAAAAAAGTTCCTTCTTTAAAGCATTATTTCACTGTTCTTTGGTTCTTGCCCCATTAAGATAAATGATATTGTCATTGCTTAAGAGTATTCCAAATATACATTTAATTAAGAAATCAGTATAGTGCATGTTTGAATGGTATTGGTAATTGTTACAGTTATCTTCTTCAGCTGTAGGAAAAGATTTGTTGTTAATGAGGTATGCAATTCTATGAACCTGAGGCCCTATGAGGGGTAAACTGCTCAGAGCTGGGCCATGGGAGCAGGGCCAGGATTCACTTCAAAAAGTAATTTTGGGTCTGTTTAACCATACAAACAAATTGGTAATCAAAGTCTCGCAAGTCTTCTGAAGAAAATTTGGAGCAGATGTAAACAAAGGTTCACCATAAACATGTACCCAGTACCTTTTCACATTATAAACATTCTGTATGTATTTTTTTCAACCCCAAAGAAAAAGACAAAGCTCAGACACTGATAACACCTGCTTTAGTTTTATTTCTCTTTTTGCCTTTCTAATAGAAAAACTCATCCTTGTTCCTCTTTTTTGTGACAGGATGGAAAATTACTTTGTCAAGTCATAGTCAGATACAGGTCTCCAGGTGATAATGTTGTACAGTTATTTGTTTAAAGAGAAAAACCTGTTAAAACTTCATCCAGCCTCCACACCAGTGACGACTCTTTGAGTGCCATTGTGTATTTATACCTGTTACACAGCTTTGAGTACTTTTGTTTTTTTCTAGAAGGTACTTCGAGTCAGGGGGACTTTGTGATATGGGTAGTAAATATTTTTCCCCCTGTTACTTAGATTTTGATTTGATTTTATTTTTTGACATGCATAAGTTTTATATTTTTAGACACTGATTTATTATGTTTTTTGTGTAGTTTCTGGAATTTAAGAGATTACCTTCCAATTTCATGATGATGAAAGAATTCTCATTCTAGTAAAATTTTACCACTTATGTGTTAATCTTCTAGAAATTTATCCTAGTATATGAGATGTGAATCAGTATTTTAAGGTGGCTGCTCAGTTAAGTTATTCAATACCATTTAAGAAGTTCCTTTATTCTTCACTATTTATCTTACCCTTTTTTCCCCCCCTCTAAATTATAGGTCATTGTTGTCTGGGTAGGAACAAACAACCATGAAAATACAGCAGAAGAAGTAGCAGGCGGAATCGAGGCCATCGTACAACTGATCAACACTAGGCAGCCACAGGCCAAAATCATTGTATTGGTATGTAGTCTTTGGGTGGGTGGAGACTTTGATGTCATTAGGTCAGGTGAGGACTCTTAGAAATGTGATTGTTCATGAATATAAAGAATCTTTAGGTGGAAACAGTTTATGATACTCCTGAGAAACTTTTTTCTGATATATTCCATTGTCTTACCGGTCTCATCATTTCCCAGACCAGCTGTGGGGTCACCTTTTATCTGCTCATCCTTGTTTAGAAGTGGAAATCCTCTTTGTTGTCTCAGGTAGTCTTATTATTTTTTTATTTTTTACTGTCTTCTGATAATTTTTAAAACTGCATATGAGACTTGTCTTAGTCCTGAGTCTTTTTTTTTATTAGACCTGAGTTTGGATTGGCTTAGATGTGGTCTTTTCTTCCACTGTTAATATGTTAAAGGTGGTATATTCATTGGCCTCTCTGGATTCTCTAATATATCAGAGGTTCCATCACTAATAATAGAGGTACTTCATAATCTTTACTCTGACAGAAAGTTCTATCCTTTATAGAGTTCAAGCAGTAAATCTTCCTGTCTCAGAGATAAATAGCTGTCTACCTATAGATATCCTATGCCCAGCTAAAAATGTATGTTTTAGCAAAATCTGGTATGTGCTCAGTTTTTTAATGAGATAGTGTTAAGAAGATAGTCATTTACACAGACATGTGAGGATTACAATGTATAAAGAAATATCCTAGGTCCTGCACACATGAAAATGAAAAGATAGTCCTTCTCAAGGAGCTTACATTCTAGTGGATGGGCCCAGCAATATAAGGAGAGAATTATTATACTGCATGCTCATGGTAATAAGGAGAGAACAGGGTGTATTTTAGACATAAAAGTTAATGTCTGAGTTTAGTTTTAAAGAACTAACTGGTCTCCAGACAAATGGGGATAGAAAGGAATGCATTACAGAGGGAAAAAAGAAAAATGATCAAAGGCTTATACATGTGTGTTGTTTGGGTGAGTGAATAAGGTTGCTAGAAGAATTGAATAAAGTTTGAGACTAGGATGGTTAGGTGAAAGGCCACAGCCAGGTCATACAGGAATTTGTATGCCATGTTAGGAGTTTGCATTTTACCTTCTTGGTGCTGGGGAGCCAGGCCTTTTCTTTCCTTTTTAAAATATATATATATGTGGTATTTCATCAATTTAATTTACTTACTTGTATTTTGCCTTATTCCAGAAAGGATTACACCATGGTTAAAAGTTCACCTCTGAATTACAGTGCCTGGTCTATAGTAGTTGCTTAGGATGTATTTTTTGCATGAAAGGTGTTGAGTAAATCCTCCATAAATATTCTTTGTTTCAACTAGACTTTTAAATTTGACATACAGAGGTTCTACCTACAACACTAACCTAGCCAGTCATCCCCATGGGGGAATGACTGCACCAGTCATTTATATAACGGCATTAATCATATGACAATTTTATGAGGACTGTGAAAACAATTTATGGTGTATTTAAGTGAAAAATTGGAATACTATACTATATATATGTTATTTAGAATTACTTAAAAGTATGTATGCAGTTGGAAGAGGCAACAATTAATAGTTACATGGTAAAAGGATTAGAGGATAATATTTTTCTTTTTTCTTTTAGCATATTATTTTAGCACTTACTAATTATCTTAGAGGGGAAATCCCATGGCATACCCTTGATATTCATATATTAAGGAAAACATAGGTAAATACAATAAGCTACTTTTTCATTCTTGCTTGAAAATTCCAATAGGTATGGTGCCCTGTTCTTGAGACTTTATCATTTTTTATGGCTTTCACTGCTATGGTATTATGTGAAAGTTAGAACAAAGCATGTATTTATTCTTCAACTGGCCATCCTTCCTGGTTGCTCAATATATCTCATCCAGACTTTGATATGTCAGCGTTGAGAGCAGCTCTTTTTTGTTAACTGTTAGAAGCATAGCCCTGTACTGGTAACAGTAATATATAAACTAGAGTTTAGGATGACCTTATCTGTGACACTCTGAGGTATTTAACAAAGATAGGAGATGGACTAGTGTCTCAGTGTCATAATTCTCTTTTGGAACTATACAGTCACACAACAAAGTGATAATAAATGCCCCAACATTTTGATGAAAAAATTTAAAACAGACATGAACAAGTACTTTGGGTATAAAAAATTTTCTTTTAATGGAATATCCACAGAAAATCTATTTTTGTGAAATAAGACCTCTTACCATACTCTATAGTGGAAATGGATGTCATATAAAATACTTATTTTATAATAGATTTGATTGTCTGTAAAGACCATTTCTAGTTTGAAAGGATAAAACTTTGCTCTTACCATGTAAGACCAGGCTTTTATTTACTATAGAAAGACAGTTATCTGATTTACTTGAAAATCATATTAGATCTTTAACATATAAGTTAAAAACAAATTTAAAGCATATCTTTTTTTAAAGATTTTATTTATTTATTTTTAGAGAAAGGGGAAAGGAGGGAGAAAGAGGGAGAGAAACATCAATGTATGGTTGCCTCTCATGTGCCCCTACTGGGGACCTGGCCTGCAACCCAGGCACGTGCCCTGACTGGAAATTGAACCAGCGACCCTTTGGTTCGCAGGCTGGCACTTAATCCTGAGCCACACCAGCCAGGTCCATATCTCTATTTTAATCTACTAGATATTATGTGTCACTGATTCAAGACAGCATTTGTTCCAACTCTGTTTCTTATGTATAGTAGTGTAGGTTCCATGTGGCATTGATAAACAGATGTGTATTTGAGCTAGATTATGCTGGTTGCTATATTGAGAACTATGTGACGGAAAGACAACACTGGACATAGAAAGACCAGTCAGGAAATTTTACATTAATTGAGGTGTGAATAGTGTGAGAAGTTCCCTAGAGATAGCAGTGTATATAATCAGAATGGAGGGGAAGAAAGAATGAATGGATTAGAAAAATGTTTAGGATGCAAATCTGAGTAATTTAACGATTAATAGATAATGTATGTGGAATGAGAGACTCCAGATGTTGGAATGACCAGTTGCTATAGAGACTGTAGAAGGAGCATTGTTTGGGGGAAGGTGATGAATTGCTTTTGGACATGTTAAGTTGGGAGTGCCTCAGGAACATTGAGTTTTGCTTTTGTAGCTGATGGTCAGTATGTGGTTTTGAAGCTCTAGGATGAGATGTGGGCCAAAGTGGTTAGAGTAGGAAGAAGAGTGAGCTAAGGAGAAGACCCTGAAGAATAACAATTCAGGGACAGTAGAAAGAGGGACTCATGAAGAAACCGAGAAGGAAGGGCCAAATAACTTTCATTAAAACCAATCTATTCCAGTATTTCAGAAATCAAAGGGGGTAGCGAGTGCCAAATATGTAAAGGAAAGCAAGTGACTCTTCTCATCTTATGTTCTTCTCTGCTCTACCCCAGGGTTTGTTACCTCGAGGTGAGAAGCCCAACCCTTTGAGGCAAAAAAATGCCAAGGTGAACCAGCTCCTCAAGGTTTCCCTGCCAAAGCTTGCCAATGTTCAGCTCCTGGATATAGATGGGGGCTTCGTGCACTCGGACGGTGCCATCTCCTGCCACGACATGTTTGATTTTCTGCATCTCACAGGAGGGGGCTACGCAAAGATCTGCAAACCCCTCCATGAACTGATCATGCAGTTGTTGGAGGAAACACCCGAGGAGAAACAAACCACCATTGCCTGACTGCCTCCTGTCAGTGTTAATTGCATCCCAGCTTCCTCAGATCAGTTATGTCACTGGCACTACAGAATCCTTCTCTTTCTTAAGGCACTTTGCATTGTAGAATGTTCCTGGATGTTCATATCTAGTGTTTGAAAGGGAGGAGGGATTTAAACTGGTCCTGTACATAGGTTTGTTTGACACAGGAGAAAAACTAGTTAAGGAAGATTGTTGTTTAAATTCATTCGAAACCAGAAGGGGACTTTTTAGTTAGATGTGTGACACCGTCATTGAATTATTGCTGTTTTTTCTAGGATGACATCAAGCCTAAGTACTGAACAAAATGAAGATTTCTTTGCCTTTCTTTCTCTGAATTATGTCATACATAATAATCAGAATCACACCTACCTGGCTTTAAAACATCTTTTTTCCAGTTTTTAAGGATCATCATTTAGACTTTTGTTTCTATTTTCCTTTACTCATATGTATTCTTTTCTTAAATCATTTTTTATTGTTATTCTGTATATTCCTAATGTTTTCACATATAGCATCAGGTTGGACATAGTTGTCATTCACATATGTGGGATGCTATAGTTACAGTGAATTTGTTCCACTCAGTCTTTTCTGGACTTAGCAGTGAAAAATACATTTTGCCCCATTTGGGGGAGTCTCTGTGGAGGGTATTATTTTTATGCTGCTGAATAAACATGTCTGTAATAGACCCATGCATGCAGCCTTTCCTCCCTATTTTTTTGGTCCTTGTTGACATAACAAGCTTTCAACATTTTTTTGACGTAGGAGCTCTGTTGCTGGAAGTATTAAGTCCCCAGCGAGTTCCTCTCATGATATTTCTGATGTGTGACTCATTCTTGTGTGTGGTATCCTGTGCTATAGAGTCTGTGTAGTGCTATCCATATTCAGAGTTCTGGTTGGTTTTGTTTGTTTTTCCCTTAGAACCTGTTACAATTTCTTGTTGGGGGGACGGAATCAGAACTCTTATTATCCATTCCGTAAGCCTGACATTATTTCAAGTTTTATAGCATCTTAAGGTGTATATTTTATTTTTTTATTGTCTTAGTTTTTAAATTATAACAGTCCAGAAAAATTTGGCACTGTCTTATGGGGAAACAAGAGAAGTTGTTCTTCAGAATTGACATTCACCTTGATCCCACCATTTTAGTAAGGAAGGAACTATGTTTGTTTAACTTTCAGGATTTCTCCTTAATATATCATCATCTGAGAATTTCTTTCAAGAGAGCTCTGTATGATCTTAATGGTTTGTATGAGCTATAGTAACTGCCATTTTAAAAGTAATGGGACCGTAGATGGTTTATTGTTCAATATACCTATGAAATGTATACAAACTGGATCTATAAACAAATATTTTAAACTGGACCAGGTAGATATTGAAGTAACCCCTCCATATGTGCTCTGCAGTGATTCTCCTTAACATTCAAGTTCAATAACTAAGGCATATGTCTTATGTTCTGCTTGCAAGGCAAATAGCAGTGCTCTTGTGTGTTGGAGGGGCGTTCCTGATTTGTGCTAAGAGCCACTTCTGATTGAATGGGACAGAACTTGGGTGGTTTTTTGTTTTCCCTTGTCAAGCCTCTTTCTAGGACTTCTGTTTTTGTTTTTTGTCTTTTTTTTTAAACACATACTTTCCTTAATGTATCATGTCTTCATTAACAAAAGAAAATACACATGGTGTTTACTAAACTCGTTTACTATATTAAAATTTTCTTTTTATGTTTATTAGCCCAGATTCTTGAATTTTTCAAGATAGATTTTTTTCTTCTTCTTAGCTGGGGTATCGTTCTAAGGATAATTACTTAATCCAGTTTTGTGTGTGAAAAGACAGTTTTCTGTCCAGATCTTCTGTTTGTCAGGGTGGGAGTATGGTCCAAACAAACCTGTAGGTTACTCCAGCAGCATAGGCTTCAAGCTTCTCTTGACTAAGGATTAAATATCCATTTGTGGGATGACCTTCAGCTCCTTTGCTTATGTGTATAAACCTGAGATGTTATACATTTTCTATCTACTAGAGCTATTTGAGCAATAGTATTTGAACCACTAGCCTTTTAAATAAAAGTCTGCCCCATTGCTAATGTGCAGATGTTGAGTCCGCTTTCATTTCTTGCCAGCTTTTTTTGCATTGCTTTAGGCAAAAGGTACTCATCTGTTTTTCATTCATTGACATCCTAGTTTGCTACAGTGACAGAACTTAATGCTTAATCTTTTGCTTTCTCAATCTCAATCTCATACACACATACATACATACATACATACATACATACATATATAAATATATAAATATAATGCCCTGTCTAAGTGAAATGTTCTTGTTGTCATTGTGATTAAGGGGCCAACTTTCCAGGAAGCTAGCAGAAGTAGTATTCTGTTACTCTCCTGGCAAATTTTAATTCATTTGTCCACCCGTTCCTGATACATTAAGTAGCAGCTGGTGATCGCACTATAAAGATTCCCGTGTGATCACATCTTGAATGTGGCAGGTGAAAGACGTACTGCCAAGGGTGATCTAAGGCCTGTTGTTTTGCTGCCCATAATATTCTAGACTCATGGGCCTGTTCGGACTATGTCTTTTGTCAAAAACATGAACCCACCAAAAACAAATCTGGAGTAGTTTATGCCCTGCTAAGAATTCTATCTCATTGTTAATTCCATCTTTTTTTTTAAACCTAGGCGCTATTTACAGTTGTATGCTAAAAAGCCTGAAATATTGTCTGTGCTGTGGTATATGGGCACTGCCAACTTTATATTTATTGCAGTGAAGAAACTAAAAATGTATGAAAATGTGGGTGCATGTGGGAGAAGTGAGTTGGGGGTCTCTTGAAAGGAGGCATTTTGGGGTGGAGTCTCCCAGACTTCTCCTTGGCGTTCTTGGGGATCACTGCTGCTAAGTTGACTGGACCTCCCCAACGGAAGTTTGTGATTCTGCTTTGGCAAAGTTTCATTGACTGGTAGAACTTCTGTTTTAGTGTATAGTTCAATATAAATGTAAACATTTCACTTAAACTTGCTGTCTTTCTGCCTGCTTTATCATAGTTTGAAATCCAGTGGAGAAAGAAGGGGTGAGTTTTTATCCTGCCTTATCACAAGCACATTGGATATTTAGGTCGTCCTGCTTCTTTTCTTGGAACTGAATGTACCAAGTTGACCCTCATTACTTCATCTCTTTGGGGGTGTAGGGTGGTGGGGTGGGATGAACAGGCACAAGGAATCCTAAGTAGGTATATAGGAAAATTGTCAAAGAATGTTTCAGACTGGTTAAGAATATCTGGTGGTTAAAAGCAACTTGTAAACCACTAATTGACCTTTTGACTCTTTTTCCTAATTTCAATATTTAGAGTTTATTCACATTCAGTGTCCCAGTTTCCACTGTTTCTCCATTTCTCATACCAATAATTACTAGTTTTCTTTTTTTACACTTTTAAATATCTCTGCTATTGCTCCCATCTTGTACGTCAGTGCTCAAATTAATTGGATTATTCTGAGTTCCTGTGCTATCTAGGAAGAAAAGCCTCCAGATATTTCCCATCTCTTAACCACCTAACACCCTTTTGTAGGTGCATCCCCATTTTAGTGTTGGCTGAGAGGACTGGGGAGGTTTTGTATGTTGTCCAGGGTGAATCATGTAGTTTGGGTGTGCTGGGATGTGATGCCAGCTTTACCTGACTTCAAAGTCCTCGCCCTTGTCACTACTCATTCAGCCTGGGGCACTTTAGCTCTAGATGATGATTCACTGAGTTGATGACAGATATAGCCCTGGTTTCCTTACATTAGAAAGTCCTGGGAATGAAATGGTGATCTTCTCACATGGACCATGGCAACAGTTTCCCTCTTTTTCTTTTTTTTTTTTTTTGTTTTGGTTTGGGGTTTTTTGTTTGTTTTTTTGCAGCCAATACATTCTTTTTCACTTCCATCCTCCACATGGTCACAGAATTATTACCTAGGTAACCTGTTTACCACCTTAAAACCAGCAGTAAGAATTAATTGCATTGTGATGTTAAGGAGCAAGATTTTTTGGTAGTACACATGAAGGTGTTCCAAGACCGTCTGGCTACTGTATTAACATGTCAGTAAGTTCAGATTGATACTAGTTAGGTAAATAAAAGTAAAAAGCCTGAAAGGAAACAGGAAAGTGGAGGTACAAAGTAAATTGCAGAAAAACTTTTAAGAAGTACCAGTTTCCATGTGCTGGGGGTTGGGGTAGGGGCCACAGTTGCAAATGAAAACATTGAATGATATTCATAGCAGACATTCAAAATACAGCCGTCTCCCTTGACATCCACTCTTAGAATGGGTCCAGAACAGTTTTGCAGTAAGTCTGGATTTAATGCCGTGGACCACCTCATTTGAACTGGGTGAGTGGTGTCAGTCTAACAAAACGTGCTCATGGAGTCCAGGACAGGAAACTTGAACAAAGACACAGTTCTCATCTCCCTCGCCTCCCCAGGCTAAAATAGCCTACCCCAAGTGTGGCCTCAGCTTTATGGCTAGAACAAGGTTCAGTCACTCAACTGCCAGGGCCTATCCTGATGACTAATACCATAACCACCCCAGCAATAATTATAGCAAATAGTTATGAACATCACTTTTATCATTCTACTGCAGTGATGGTATTGGATTAGAATGGTTTACTCCTAGAAGAAGATAGAATCCGGAGATACTAAACTGAGATGTTTTTGTTTTCCTATTTGTCTTCCCCCCCATATCTTGCCATACCAAGTTCCTACCCACACCCCAAGGCATTGCCTTTGTGAGATATTTGCAGATTCCCCTTAGATCATAGAGGAGAGGTAAAAGCAGCTGGGGTCCTGAGGCTTTGTAGACTGTCCAAACTATTCCCGTAACCTCTTCCACGGCCCCAAAGTGGAAGAGAGCAGTGTGGTAGAAGGGAAAGCTTCACTGAATCTTGGGAAAAATTGAAAAAACCAACAGAACATCTGCTTTTCTCCAGCCATGGCAGGGGTGAAATCCAAACTCAGCTACATATTTTTACTTAGCCATGAAGCAAAGGTCTTACATGTTTTGGTAAAGACATAGTCTTTTTCTTGGCCTGACTTTATGCTATACCTCTTGCCTTTTGCTTATTTGCTGGTTTATTTTGGTATAACTCATTACATCAAAATACAGGGTGGGGGAAAAAGTAGGTTTACAGTTCATGTTGAAAAAAATAACTGCAAGAATAAACTTTCAGGTACAACTGTAAACCTGTTTGCCCCACCCTGTATATATCAAAAAATGCTATAAAAATATATTTTACAAACTGATTAAGCTTTGACAGCACACCTGTAAAGAATTCATGACAGTGTAGCAGCATGCTCCTTGATAAGCAGTCCAAGTATTAAATAGAACATCCCCTCCATGGTCTGGCCGTCTTCATGTCCTCACACTTCTTTCCTTGAATTTTTATGCCAATACTATTGAGCTTTGAGTCATGCCTTTGCCCCAACTTGAGACCCCCTGTCAGGAATATGTCCCTGCCCCTACTCATCTTTTAAGAACCCCTCTGAGTGTTTTCTGGTTTCTATTTCCAGCTCTGGTTTGTACTAGATCTCTCATATCTGAGTTCCCCATAATACCTTGTGTAAGTCTTTTATCATTGCACTTACCATTCTATTATATGCTTACCTATTTGTCTACACTGCTAGATAATGAATTCCTTAATAGAGAATGTGTTTTAATCATCTTTGTGTTCCCCGCATCTAGCTTAGTAACTAGTACAAACTAGGCACTAAATAAATGAAGAAATGAATGAATAGATTGATTTGTTCATGGTCTTCCAGCCAGTAACTGTCAGAATTTAAACTGAATACAAACCTTTTGACTACAGTTCCTCCTCTTTGAATGGTACCATGCTTCTGCTTGTGAGAAACAATAGACATATTCTTGCTAGTGATAAGGGCAAACAAAATTAAAAAGATGTGGAATATATCTACTAAAAAAATTTTAAAACATTTTCTAGGTTTTTCTGAATAGAAATAGATGGAGTTAATATAGTTTTTATAGGAAAAGTGAAGCTAGAAGAAAAGGCTAGACTGGACCAGAGGAACAGAGGTATTGTGAATGAGAAAATAATTCTGAAGCCTCTGAGGACCAATGAAATAACAAGGAGCTTTGGGATGTGGCCTATATTCTAGCCCAAGTGTGAAGAGAGGGTGCCCCTTTCTATTATCAAAAACAATTTTGAATAAACTTGGTAGCTGCACATGATCTTTAGGCACAACCAGAGAGGAGCTATATCTAAAAGGCTCTTCAGTTGCATCTTCTGATTGCTTAGTCAGGGACCCAAGCTTGGTTGAAACAGGAGGATGGCTGGCTCATTTTTATCAGTGATCTTTAGAGACACAGATTGAGTTGATCAATTATTTATCTGCTTGTTTTCAGCAACCTGATGACCAGCCTCATTTCCTGGAAAGCTCTGATGTTGGTTCCATCACGTGGCCACAGGGAAGCAGATGCAGGGCCTGAATGTATTTCCCAGTCTGAGTGGTGAAAGCCCAGTTTCAGGAAATGGAAAGTGGCTGATATCTCTGGCAGAAAGTCCTGCGCGTTTAGTCAAAGCTGCTGTCTCATGACTCACCTACTCTTTAGACAAATAGATCAAGATGAGGAATGCAACCCATTCTAGCTCCTCTCTGTAACAGTCAGGAGGACAATGGAGATGAGACATAGCTCCTGAGGGTTCAGAAAGTTTAATTTGCCTAAGATACACAATGCAGCGCTTTAAAGCTACACCTTTCTGATATCAAAGTCCTCACTTTTTCCATAATACCATGAAACCGTGTGACATATTTGATACCTTATCCCCAGAATGACAGTTTAGCTGATTCCCAAGCTTTATGCATCTAGTTTTCATAGTCCTTGAAGGAAAGATAACTAGGTACAAGGGCAGCCCTGGGAAAAAAATAGCACTTCCATGATGGGAAGGAGTGCTGTACTCTTGCTGCCAGGGCTACCTATGTCCAGGATATTTCTATTTGAGCTTCAAATAGATACACTGGGCCCTTTTTTGGTCACAATGAAAACAGAGAAATTCAAGTCCATTTTTTTCAGAGGGGTTGGTTTTGCAACCTTTTTTCCTGGGTTAAAGTTAAACCGTTACTTAATTCTGAAGTCTGGTTTGATTCTGCCCCCCACCCACAGGCGTGGCCACTTCCTAACTCCCACGTTCCTGAGTTACTTGATGGGACTCAGCTAATCGATTTACTGTGGTTCTTTCTGTGTCCTGCTCTTACTGCAGTCCTAAGATCATTTTAGCAATACCCCTGACCCAGGTGAAACTTTCTTCCTGTCCTTTTATTCCAAACCTTGAAACCCTGTGGCTTAAAATGGAGCCAGATCCAAGCAAAGCTGGGAACCTTGTCAGCTGCCTGCTGAATGATCCCATTTCTTAGGTCCTTTCTGTGCTCAGGCTGGGAAGGGTAGCCCACAGGAAATAGAAGAAAGTGAACTAAGCCTTGTGAGCCACCCTGCTCACTTCATCACCAGGGCTTGGGTTGGCCTTTTTACATAATGCGGGAGAATGCAGTATCTCGGACCTGTGCAGAGGGCCAAGGGGGCTTCTCTGAGGCCTTGACATCTCTGCACTTAAACAGTCGGGCTTTGAGACGGAGCACTGCCCTTTTATGCTGACTGCTGCAGATTACAAAAAGGCTTTCTCTTCCAGACCTTAGAAAGGGCCTTCACAACTGGGTTGCGCTGTTCCCTCCCTGGGAGGTTGGGACAGCAAGGCTGAGGAAGGTCTGCTAACCTGAGAACAGCAAGAGAATCCAAGGCTGCTGCCCCCTCCTATTCTGTCTGGATACTCATGGTGCTGAGGATTCAAAGTTTAAGCCCCTGAGACCTTTCAAAAGGGACAGATCCCCTCTGGGTTTATTGAATATATTTCTTCCAAGATACTGCCAGGAGAAAGGGAGCACACAGAAATATTGATAGTTCACAATTGTTTGGCCCAAAGCAGTGGTTCTAAAAATTCACAGTGCATAGAAAACTGCAGTGCTTGCTAACATGCAGATTCCTGGGCTCCACCCCCAGACACTAATTCAAGAACTGTAAGTAACGTCTGGATGTGCTTTATAAACAGGTCCAGAGGCACATTTTGCTCCAAAACCTAAGACAGGCTTGGAATACTCCCTAGGCTCTCCAGCCCCCAGCCTGGGCTTATACAGTATAGTCCCAGCACCAAACAGCCTATAGCAGAGACCCTATAATCCTCAACTTGTTCTCACAGTTGCCAGGAAAGTTCCTGGCACATCACAGACCAGTTAGATTCCATCCAGCTAAGTGGGGTGCTCAGGCACAGGGCGGGAGTGCTTGGGAATTCCGGAATTACCTGCAAGGTGGGGGGTTAGAGTGAGAGAGAAAGGGAGAAGACCAACTGGAATATGAAAATCTTACATTGACTCTCCAAACTGGGCTGCTGACTGCGTTGGGGGTTCATTATGACACCTCTTGTTATTCTGAGGCTCCTCCAGTTCAGGTTTGTTTGGAAAGAGTATTGGACCAAGGCTCAGGGAAGAAGTTGGGTGAGCTGCTCATGAGCTGACCTTTTCTGGGCTTCACCCTATGTATCTGTAAAATGAAGGGTTGGTCCAGAGTCTGCAAAGGTTCACTTTGATCTGACTTTCTACAGCTCTCCAGCCTCAGCAGTTTGCTTCTGGTCTCCATCCTCAAGTATGAATGCTTGGGCAGGGCCAGGTATAAGTCTCCCACTCACCATTTGCCCAGTATAATTAGAACAGTACCTGGCATATTGTAGGTGTCCATTAAATATTTAGTGCAGAAATGAATAAATATAACTGGTCATAAGATAAAATAGTCATTGGAACAATGCCCAGGTAGTAAGGCAGAGGTAGGGGCTGAGGCTGCTGGAATCCTATGAAGCAGGGAACTCTGATGAGCCACTGGCCCAGGTGGCTTCACCAGGATGTCTGACAACTTCAGAGGTAGCCACTCTACATTTCTTATCCTTTAAACACATCTAATTTATCTTTAAAAGAAATTCATGTACATTGTAGGCAATTTGTAAATTTTTAAAAGATATTAAAAACCACCCACAATACAGAAATTGGAGGAGGGATGCTTTCCTATTCAAAGATAATCATTGCTAAATTTTTATGCAGTTCTCAACTTAAAAAAAAATGCATGTCTATGTATTTGGAAACCATACTGTTTCTAGTGTCATATTGTGAATTCTCTCGGCTTACATGTCCCTTAAAATCTTAAGCGTAGTTTTTTAATAGCTTCTTGATAATAGTGTGTTTAAGTTAACCATTCCTTCATTATAGACATTTAAGCTTTATGCTTTATATTATAAATATCAGAGTGATAAAGATAGCAGCCTACACATTTTTATCTGTATTTCCTTAGGACAGTGTCTCACAAATGAAATTATTGGATCAAAGAGTATAAAGCTCTTAGAGCTTCTTGAAACACAGTGCCAAAACATTTTGTAGAAGAGTTTTCACCAATTTACACTGAAAGTCACTATCTTGCAATGAGCTTTGTAGCTGCTTCTATAGAGTAGAGAAAGCCCCTAAGCCTTATGGCATCCCTGGAGCTGTGCGGCCGCTGCTGGGGGAGGTGAGATTGCGCAAGGATTCCACCTGCAGTTCTGCTTAAATTACCCCTCCGCCGTCAGGGCGACTATCTGTTTCCCAATTCTTTGAGTTCCTCATTTCTTAGGATCCCAGGAGGGGAAAAAAAGGCCCAGGTGGAGAATGTTAGTGTTAGTGGTAGTGGGCGTGGGAGTAGGGGATCCTATCCCTAAGTTTGAGCAAAGGGAATAGGTTAACAAGAATCCAACACTTGGAGATCCTTCATGGAAACATCCGTCTATTCCAAAGTGAGCTTCCAAAGGGGGCAGGATAATGAAAGGAGGGGCAGTAAGGGGATAGGACTCGAAGGCATCCAGCTGGAGTGCTACGGCCCCTTTAACTCCCAATCCGGAACCTGGCCCTTTAAATCTTTGTCAGTTTCCCCTGACGTCAGCCGGAGGGCCCGCCGCCCGGCTGTTTACCGCTTCGCCGTGCTCCACACTTTCCCCAGTTCCGAGCGCCGGAACCGCCGAGTCTGCCTGCCCTTAAAGGGCCCGCACTCAACTCGCCGGGCCGCGCGGCGTCCGGCTACTACAACTATCACGCTTCTCACCCTCAGACTTTCCTCTCTTCCAGGACGCCACCGCGGCCAGCTTCCCCTCATTTCCTCTGTCCCCTTTCCCGGCTTCTCTAGGCTCCCAGCAACTGGCGTCTCTTCGCTCACCGTCCTAGCGGGCGGCCGCAGGGTGTCCAAACCGTGCGCAGCCCGTCGCGATCTGGGGCCCCTGCCAGTGACTGGGACCCCACGCCTTCCCCTCCCCCGCTTGCCGCCCCTCCCCTCCGGTGCCCCTGGGAGCGTCTCTGCGGCTCCAGGGAGGGGACGTTTCCTAATCTCAGGCCGGGGTTAAAGTTCTGGTCCTGGTGAGATGGTGGAAGCTGCGGCCGGAGCCGCAACCTGTCCCGGAGGTGTCTTGTCGCCTGTCGCTGCCGCCGCCACTGCCGCCCTGCTGGGGCCATGTTCGTTCTGGGCTTGCCCTTCTTGGCGCTTTTGGTGGCTTCGGGCGACAGCCATCCGGGGCTTCTGGGGCCCAAGAACGTCTCGCAGAAAGACGCGGAGTTTGAGCGCACGTACGTGGATGAGGTCAACAGCGAGCTGGTCAACATCTATACCTTCAACCATACTGTGACCCGCAACCGGGTGAGGGCTGGGGCTGGGTTGGGGCTGTTGGTGAGTGAGTGAGCAGACGGGGCCCAGCCGGTTCTGTCAGTTCCCTATAGAGCTGCCCCACTGGGTTCCTTCCGTTCCCTGAACCACGCTGGACTTTCTTGACTAATCCTCCTTCCTTTGCTACCATTGTTTCTCCGAAGCTCCCACCGGACTGGCTCTGAAGGTATCTCATTCCCATCTTCTCACTGACTGCCTCCTTCCACCAGATGTGGCCTGGGCAGGACCGACCTGCTCCCTACCCAGCAACCAGAGTCTGATAGCTCTGTGGGGTCTGTGTGGAAGAGGAAGCAAGCTTGCCTCTGGGCTTGGCCCAGAAAACCCCAGGGGGATGAAACAGGCTCTACTTGCAAGGCTCTGCCCAGGCAAGAGTTATTAGCTGAGCCTCCTGGGGAAGATGAATGCAGGACTTCTGGGGCTGCCAGAAGTGCTGGGAACATCCCAGTCCTCTTCCAATCTTAGAAAGCCTTGTAAGATGCAGGTGGCATAGAAGAGGCCAACCCCAAGGTGGATGGGAGGAGAGGGTGTTTGTCTACTGTGGAGAACATACCTCACTCTGACTTCATTTTCCTTTCTTCCCCTGCTGACCCATGTTTCCTTTCTTCCCCATGTTGACCATGGACATAGCTAGGTCCAGGAAGGCTAGAGCTGAAATTTGGAGAATTCTTCCAGCCTGGCTCTATGGTCTGCACAGTTCTCTCCACGACTGCATTTACTGAGGAGCAGTGTAGTTGAGAATGGGAATCTGATTTTTTTCAGAATGGGGAGGGATTTGGTTTCTGTGACAAGTCAGAATCTGCCTTGTGTTCCTGGTTCTGTAAAGCTTGATCTCCAACTGCTCAGAGTCATTTCTCCTTTTTTTTCCCACCATATCTGGGGTTACCCTCAGAGCTGTGACCTCTGTCCCTCTGAGAAAAGCTGCCCTAGCACATGGGTTTCAGCAGCCCAGTAATAAGATTCATGGGATTTGTTTAGTTTTTCCTTAAACTCCTGCTGTCCTATATACTTTCCTATACAGCACCTAGAGTGAGTGTGTTTCCATTTTATAGAGGAGAAAATTGAAGCTCAGAGATGTGAAGTGACTTCTTCACAGCCCTGTCCCTCAGGCAGAACTAGGGATGGACTTTAGCTTTCTTGGGTCTCAATAGTCCCTGTGTGTCCACTTCCCCCAACCCTCAGATTAGTTGTTGAATATGAGCTTCTAGCTCATAAGGAAGAAAGTGGAGGAGTTTTTGCTCCCATGTCCATGAGTGTATGTGCACATGTGTGCAAGCATGTATGTCTCATGAACATGGATAGGAATGGGCTCCCCTGGAGAAACCCAAGATCTCCATTGTGCTTCCTGTTGGGAGTGAGGCCCTGAGTTGCTTGGTTCTTGTTGTCCTGCCATCAGGAGTTTGTGTCTTCCATAAGCCTCTCCTTTGAGTCAGCACCAGTCCCTCCTATAGACTTGGGCCTGCCCAGGCAGAAGAAAGGGCATGGATAGTTTTCCAGCCTAACCAGGATGGGGAAAGAACAAAGCGGTTTGCATGACTGAGGGCAGGGCTCACAGTGTCTGCATCCATGTGTCCCAGGTGGCAGAGGGAGTCACCATGGGCTTGACTGAGGGGCATTTCCATCTCATTCTGCAGACAGAAGGTGTGCGTGTGTCTGTGAATGTCCTGAACAAACAGAAGGGAGCTCCTTTGCTGTTTGTGGTCCGCCAGAAGGAGGCTGTGGTGTCCTTCCAGGTGCCCCTAATCCTGCGAGGGCTGTGAGTAGAACCTGGGAAACAGGGAGGGAGTAGGCCCAGGTCAGGCCTTCCCCAAAGCCTCACACACGTCCTTATCTGGGGCCTCAGACCACCCAGGAGCCTCTCTGTTTCTCTTCCCCGTCCCCAGACCCAGGAGGCTGGCCTATAGCATGAGGGCCAAGCCAGCCAGCCCAGAGTCTGTCAGCCTAGTGGGGGTAGGAGTGGGGGGGATGGAGAACTAGTAGAGGAATTGGGGCCCTGCTCCTCTGGAGTGACATCCTGGTTGGGACAGTAGTCACGTCCAGACTCTCTCCATCTGGCCATAGGTTTCAGCGCAAGTACCTCTACCAAAAGGTGGAACGAACACTGTGTCAGCCCCCAACCAAAAATGAGTCTGAGATCCAGTTCTTCTACGTGGACGTGTCCACCCTGTCACCAGTCAATACCACGTACCAGCTCCAGGTCAGCCGAATGGACAACTTCGTGCTCAGGTCTGCAGGGGAGAGTGAGGGAACCATGGGACTGGCCTCCTTCTTAAGCTGTGGGAATGACCATGGGGGTTCTTCTCTGCCCTACAGGACTGGAGAGCACTTTAGCTTCAATACCACAGCAGCCCAGCCTCAGGTAAGATCCCCTGTTGACTGGCCCTCAAGAAATGGGGAAGCTTAAATGTGGAAGTGGGAGTGGTTGGTGGCCTTTGCTGGGAGTTTCAAGTTGGCTTGGACCCTCCCTGGAGAGACTGGAAACAGGCTCAGGCCCCGAGGTGGGAAGGGGCAAATAGGATGAGAAGTGCGGAGACATGGGGCCTGGCTGTCACCTTCCCTACTTGCCTCGCGGACATTGCCCTGAGTGCCCAACTGAGGTCAAAAGGAGTGGTATACAGAAAATGGAGCTGCTTATAGTGAAGGCCTTTCTCCCCAGAGAGCCTCCAGTACCCAACCCTGAGAGAACTGATACTGTTCCCTTCTAGAGGGACAGAGAGGGCATCCTCATGAGATGAGGATCTCCCTGCCACCCTCCTTCTGCCCTCAGTACTTCAAATATGAGTTCCCAGAAGGAGTGGACTCGGTGATTGTCAAGGTGACCTCCAACAGGGCCTTCCCCTGCTCAGTCATCTCTATCCAGGATGTCCTGGTAAGTAGCCTGTCCTTTTACACTCCACCAGTGGATAACAGGGCTGCTAATGAGAGGGGACAGAGCCCAGCTCCCTGCACCTGTTTTTCCCCTCCTCCTCTGTAGTGCCCTGTCTATGACCTAGACAACAATGTAGCCTTCATCGGCATGTACCAGACTATGACCAAGAAGGCAGCCATCACTGTGCAGGTAGGAGATGCACAGGGACCTGTGGGAGATGTGGCTGGTGATTAGCTTTCCAAGTCCCTCCTCCTCTTCCCCTGCTTCATTCATCCGCTACCCATAAGACTGAGTCTTGGTCCATTGGTCCCTGAGACTTTGGGTCCCCTGATGTGCGTGAGAATTGAATCATAACCCCAATTGCCTTTGGGGACAAGAAAGAGCAACATATCCTTTCTAATTGTCACATCTACTTCATTCACTATAATGATAACGAGAGGAAAGTAACCCTAGCTGAGGCTTTGTGTCTACCTTTGGCAAAGGCTGAAACCTCTGCTGCAGGCAGGGAGGGGATGGCCATATGTTCACCTCACAACATTGAGTCACACAGGTGATGGACGCAATGTGGCCCCTCCACTTTTTCTCCTGGCCGATGCATAGCCTGTAATAGGGCACCCATGGTCCTGTGATGGTAGGGTACACACATACTTGCTCACCTGGCCATAGCATAGCCTCAGGCTTTGGGCTCTGGAGTCAGATAACCTTGGCTCTACCACTTACTGTCAGTATGACCCTAAGCTAACTTCTGAGCCTGTCCAACAGGGACAGTGATAGTGCTCTCTCATAAGGATCTTTGGAAGGATTAAGTAAAATAATATAAAAAGAGAGGATAGCATAATTTCTGGCCCAAAGTAGATGTTCAGGAAAGGATGGTGATGATGACAATTGATGATATAATGAAGACAATGACAATGATATCATCATCATCATCATCATCATCATCATTATCATCATCATTATCCTACAGCGCAAAGACTTCCCAAGCAACAGCTTCTACGTGGTGGTGGTGGTGAAGACAGAAGACCAGGCCTGTGGGGGTTCCTTGCCTTTCTACCCCTTTGGAGAAGGTAATTTTGTGCCCAGGCCAGACTGGTGATGGAGAGGTCTTGGTCACTTTCTGGGAGGTAGAAGAGCCTGTGTGACTGATTTGTAGACATAGTGGAACACACGTTTTTGGCTCCCAGGGCTGGTCCCACCAACTCTAGCTAAGTTCCAGGCAGCCCTTGGTTTGCCAACTTGACATTTTACTTCCAGATGAACCAGTTGATCAAGGGCACCGCCAGAAAACCCTGTCAGTGCTGGTATCTCGAGCAGTCACATGTGAGTGTGGGTGGCTGAGTGGGGATGGACTGGTCTCTGGCTCTTCCTCTCAGACTTGGGGTGGGAGTGGTGATGAGGACCTATTCAACCAAGCTGATAGGATAGGAATGGGGCAGTGTTCTTGGTAGGCCTCACAATGGGAAGGCTGGGAGGTGAGTCCCAATATAACTTGACATAAAGAGTATATGACTAAAGAGTAGAGTACTGAGGTCTAGTTCTCTCTGTGCCACTTCGGAGCAGTGTAATCTCATTGAGCCTCAGTTACCCCATCTCTATAACAGAGGTGATAGGATCTGTCCCATCAGTCTCACTTAAGTTGTGAAGTTTAGCGAAAATTAGTAGGAAAGTACCAGTCTCCTTAGTCATGCTCAGTAAATATTTACTGAGTACTTGAATGGGGCCCTTTGTAAACTGGAAAGTATAGGATAAAAATAAGAGATTGTGATGGGAGGGGAAAGAAGCTGCCTCTCCTATACAGGTTCTTTATTTAGCAAATATTTGTCAAGCACCTTCTCTGTGCCAGGTGCTATGTCACATCGGTAGCGCCCAGGGAGCACCTGCCTGGAGGGACAGAAGCCTGTGGCTTCACAGGGAGCTGAGAGCTGTGATGAGCAAAGGACAGCTCACTGTGGGAACACAGGACAGAGAAAGTTTCCTAGAGGACAAAGTCCCTGAGCTGTGTTTTGAAGTTTAAGTCAAGATGGAGTTTTTGAGAAAGAATTAGAGGAGAAAGTTCTTGCAGAGGGAGCAGCATGAGCACAGACAGGAATCATGTCAGAGTTTGGTGGATTTGGGGAATGGCCAATTGTTCATACCAGCTGGGTCACTACATTTGAAGGGAGAAGTGGTGGGAGATCGTCTGGGCCCTGAGTGTCATAATTGGTGTGTTCGTCGTCTTGCTTCTTTCCCAACAGCTGAGGCCTATGTGAGTGGGATGCTCTTTTGCCTGGGCATATTTCTCTCCTTCTACCTTCTGACCATTCTTCTGGCCTGTTGGGAGAACTGGAGGTAAAGTGGAACTGCTGGGCCCTCCCCTGTTCTGGGTTACGTTGTTGGGCAGAGGATGTGGGAGAGGTGGCTTGGCAGGATCTGAGCCAGCCCAGGGTAATCTTCCACACTGTCCACAGGGCAGGGGGACGTAGGCCCCTGTTAGGGTTTGTGGTCCAGGGGCCTCTCCTCTGGAAACCAACCCATTCTTTGAACCTTTCCAAGCAGGGAGACTCCACATGGCTTCCCAGCCTGGGAAGAACCATAGGATCATGAATGAAGGGCAGGGTTATGGGGTGGGAAGGGTGGAAGGCAGGCCATTCCTGCATAGGAGGGATCCTTGTCCCCCTCTGGTTTGCCTCTGGATTCTGTTCCTGCAGGCAGAGGAAGAAGACCCTTCTGGTGACTGTGGACCGAGCCTGCCCAGAAAGCGGTATTTGCAGAGGGCCTGAGTGGGAGGGTAGAGTGTGCTTGGTGTTTTGAAGGTGAAAGTGATGGATAGTTCTCTTAGGGGTTAGAGGAGGCTCTCTTGGGACTTCTGGATATTCAAGTTGGGAGGAACACTATGGATAGACATAGGGCTGGGGTACTAGTCCCGTCTGTCCCTAGTGTGCTCGTCTGTAAGGCTGCCACTTGATTCATTCTCTGGGTCTAACTCTACGGTTTGTCTGCCTCAGACAGTGGGGCTCACAGTTTCTGGGATTATTAACCTTCCATTTTCTCTTCTTTTCTTCTATCCCTCTCCCTTTCTATACTCCCTCCTGCTTGGACCTTCTCTCTCAGCTTCTCTTCTTGGTAAGCTCCAGGTGCCGTGGGCAGAGGAGCTGGAGTCCAGAGCAGGGGGGGAGAGGGGAAACACTAGAGGTATCTGGGTGGGACCTGGGCCGGCCACTGCTCTCTATCCTTGCTGCTAGTAACTTAGGTACATCAATTCCTTGAGATTTCTCTCTCTCAATGGGCATCACAGGGTAGCAAGTATTTCCGTTGGGGACACCCATGGGAGGGAGGTCAGGGTAAGTGGTGGTGATGGGAGTGGGCTGTGTTTGCTGTGATCAGTGCTTATTCTTTGCTGCCGCCATGGCCACTCTGTGTCTCTCTTCTCTCTGGCTTTTGGCCTCTCTCTGCTTCTAGGGCTCAGGGGGACCTTGATGTCTCATTGCAGGTCACCCTCGGGTCCTGACCGACTCCTTCCCTGGCAGCTCCCCTTATGAGGGTTACAACTATGGTTCATTTGGTACGTGTCAATGAAAGAGATTGTGCTGGTCCATTCACAACCTAGTCTCCTGAGGCTGCTACCTCCAAGGTGCAAACTTGTAGTGGGCCTCCTCGGAGCTCCTTGTGGATGGGTCTAGCATCCCCTTCCCTGAGGTCTGTCTTCACCAGCTCTTATTCTGCAGAGAACTGTTCCGGATCCACTGAGGGGCTGGTTGACAGCATGGATACTGGAGACCTCTCCTGCAGTTACCAGGGTGAGCAGTCCAGACAGGGCCCAGTGGTGTGGTGCAGGGCTGGTGCTGGCTGGGTGACACCTGATGGTGGGCGGTCGCCTCTTGTGCCAGATGCTGGGACAGGGTAGGGCCTTCTGTCTCCCACCCCTCTTCTCCCTCGGCCTTTCTTCCTTGGCTCCACTTCCCTGGTAACTTTCCCTTTCCTTTGAAGGACACGACCAGTTCAAGCGGCGCCTTCCCTTTGGCCAGATGCGGCAGCTGTGCATTGCCATGGGTAGATGTGGGGAGGTGGGGAGCTGCTCTGCCAATCAGCTCCTGCCAGGGTGGTTGACTGGAGCTGGTAGGCTCCGGGGCCAGAAAAATGCTTTGTGCATGGCTTCCCCACCTAATGTCAATGATTGCCGGCTCTTGTGTTTTTTTGAGATGAGCAGGCACTGGCAGGCTGGTACCCCAGCTACGCCTGTGCCAGATATTCTGGTTTGCTGTCATGTTTGCCAGCACCCTCAATCCCTGGCCTTCTGGGTTAGGGCTTGTGGGCAGAGGCATCATGTCCTGGCCTCTGGGTGCTTTGGTCAGGCAGGGTCACAGGAGGAAGCTTCTAAAGACACAACAAAAGAATAGGCTGAAGCAGCAAGTACTCTTCCTAGAGGCAGCCTCTGACCCTTGCCTGCACCGTCAGGCCCCCTGGGTCTTTACCCAGTATCTTCTCAGAGCCCCCACAGTCGGGCACCTTCTAATCAGCATGACTTCTGCCAAATTCAGTCCTGCCGCCTGTCTCTGGGGCCTGGGGTCTGCTCAGTGTCCTGGCCTGGAAGCCTTAGCTCAGTGAGGGGGGCAGGGCTGGAGCAGTCCCTACTCAGTGGCCTCTTTGCAGAGCCCACCCTGGCTCCCCTCAAGGATTTAGGAGGGTTTGGTACCTCTCCCCAGAGCCTGAGCCCACCTCCACCCCTGCTCTGAGCCTACAGTTTGCCTCTTTCCACTGCCTAGTAATTATGACAATTGCCCCAGGTGGGTGGAGACAGACCTCTAGCTCTGTGCCCACTGGGAAACCTTTCTCCCCGCTTACTCCAGACCGCTCTCTTGACCCTGTGGGCACGCGGCCACGACTAGACTCCATGAGCTCTGTGGAGGAAGATGATTATGACACATTGACTGACATCGAATCAGACAAGAACGTCATTCGCACCAAGGTCTGACACCATAGGTCCTGCCCTGGTCAGGGGTTCCTCAAGGAAGGGAGATTCTGTGTTCAGGGCCCGATTTATCTCCCCCTGGGGTCAGAAAGAGCTCAGTTGTGGCAGGAAAGATTCCAGGGAAAGCTTGACCAGCAGCAGTGGGATGGCTGAGCTCCCTGCCCAGCAGTGTCTGGCCCCTCTTGGCTTCTCTCACCTGGGCAAGAGGGACCTCTCCCAGGTGGTGGGAAAGGGGGCTCACTCTAGCTTCTCCTCAGCAATACCTCTATGTGGCTGACCTGGCACGGAAGGACAAACGTGTTCTGCGGAAAAAGTACCAGATCTACTTCTGGTGAGTGGACAGGATGAATGGGACTTCCTGTTATGTGGGGTGAGGTGGTTGTTTCTTGGGTCCTGCTACCTCACCGCTCTCCTCCCACTCCTCAGGAACATTGCCACCATTGCTGTCTTCTATGCGCTCCCTGTGGTGCAGCTGGTGATTACCTACCAGACGGTGAGAAGGTGGGGCCGGCTCCTGGGGACCTGCAGCTGCAGGCACCCCTTCGCCAGAGTCTGGGACTCTGCCCCAAGTGCAGAGCCTCCCTGCCTGGGCCTCTGGAGCAAGCACAGGTCTTAGGTCACCAGAACTGGGTTCAAATCCCAACTTTTACCAGCTTGGGGACTTTGGGCAAATCACTTAACCTCCCTAAGCATCAGTTTTTCATCTGCAAAGTGGGGACGGCACGGCATCAGTGATGGCACCTTCCCCAAGTTGTTACGCAGATTCATTGAAATGAAAGTCCTGGGACTTTGTACGTCTTGGTTTCTCTTCCCTTTTCTCTGTACTGGGGCAAGAACTTCAGTTATGGTCATACCCCAGCATTTTCAGCCACACCCAGAGAGGTGTGACAGTGACTGTGCCAAAAAGGGGACTTGCCTGTGTATGTGTGCACACACATGCTGGCCCTGGTGGCACTTCCTATACACAGCAGAACAGGATGGGGTGGTGTGGCCTGGGCTGAGTCTGCCCTTCCTCACCAGGACAGTGGCTGAGTTGGGCACTTCAGCAGCCCCCTTCCTGTTCCTACCCCCTGCTGCAGGTGGTGAATGTCACAGGGAATCAGGACATTTGCTACTATAACTTCCTCTGTGCCCACCCACTGGGCAACCTCAGGTGGGGATCTTCTTGGGCGGCCCCTCCCCCAGGCGAATGGTGAACCTGGGAAGGGGGAAGGGCTCTCTGAATGCCTGCCACTGTGGGAAAGATGCTGGAGCATGAGTCTGAGGCAATGCACCGTGTTGCCTGTTCTAGTGCTTTCAACAACATCCTCAGCAACCTGGGGTACATCTTGCTGGGGCTGCTCTTCTTGCTAATCATCCTACAACGGGAGATCAACCACAACCGGGCCCTGCTGCGCAACGACCTCTATGCCCTGGTGAGGAGCCCCAATCCTGCCTGCCCAGGCCTCTACTCCAGACCCTTCCTGTCAGGCGTGCCCATCCCTGCCTTCCCCTGCCCAGCCCCTGGTCAGCTCAGCCCTGACGAGCACTGCCATGCCCTGCCCTCCCTATACACCGTCTCTGCCCAAGCCTGCCTTCCTCTCATGAGTTCCCTCTTTGGGGTCCCTTCCTCCCTCCCTTCCTGCCTCACTTCTCTGCCTTCCCTTCCTTTCTCCCTGACAGGAGTGTGGGATCCCCAAACACTTTGGCTTGTTCTACGCCATGGGCACAGCCCTGATGATGGAGGGCCTGCTGAGTGCTTGCTATCACGTCTGCCCCAACTACACCAACTTCCAGTTTGGTAAGCATGGCCTCCCTCTTCCCTCGCTGAACCCAGAGCAGGGATCTGCCTGAGTCTTCCACCATCCCCAGGTCACCTGCAGGGATCGCCAGGACTCAGCTGCAAAGAAGAGCCCAGGGCTGCAGTGCTTTAAGCACACACACCCTAGCTTGTAGAGAATAGGCATCTGGATGCTATTTCATTTATCTGTGAGCCTTTCCTATAGAAAGGCATCTGCAAGCACTGAGAAAAACAAGATAATTAAGATATGACCCTTGACCTCAGGGTGCTCAGATTAAGGTGTCTTGTCAGGGGAAGTCAGGTGGTGGGTGAGAGCCAGTAGGTGGCAGTGTGGTGTGGCAGGGATAGTTAAGGGACTGGAGGTCAACTGCCAGCCCACCACCGGCTCACTCTGTGGCCTTGAGGTAGTGTGGGGGCTCTATTCTATTCTGATTGTTGGGGCTGGGAGTTGCATGCTGAGGCTTGGTCGATGTTGCTATAGCTCATGGCCATGTCCCCCACCCTAGACACATCATTCATGTACATGATTGCTGGGCTCTGCATGCTGAAGCTCTACCAGAAGCGGCACCCGGACATCAATGCCAGTGCCTATAGCGCCTATGCCTGCTTGGCAGTTGTCATCTTCTTCTCTGTGCTGGGCGTGGTGAGGCCCTGACCTGCTCTGCTCACCCTGTAGGAAAGGTGCACGGGCACATTCACACCCGTGCCCGTGCACAATCCCCTTCTCCACCTTCTGCAGGAGAGATCCCTGCTCCTTCCCTGAGGTGCCCTCCCTGGCCCCTCAGAGAGCCCTGACCTGGCTGAGCAACAGCCTGGCTCCTCCAGAGGAAGTGTGGGCTGGGGGAGCAGCTTTCTTCGGTGCCTCCTCAGCCCTTCCCTTGGTGGCCCCTGGCAGGTCTTCGGCAAGGGAAACACGGCATTCTGGATTGTCTTCTCGGTCATTCACATCATTGCCACCCTCCTCCTCAGCATACAGCTCTATTACATGGGCCGCTGGAAGCTGGGTGAGGGCATGCCAAGGGCATGGGGCTGGGACCTGCTGGGCCTCGTGGAATGAGGGGAGTGTGGCCTTGGGGGCCTGGATCCCGGGAGACTCGGGTTCTGCCCCCTCACTGGGGTCCTGGAGGAATCACTGGTGAGTAATTAGATGAGGCCTGGGCACAGCTGTGGCCCCCACAGGCCCTGACTCCTTAGCTGGTGCAGGCTAGGGCTGGGAAAGGAGTGTACCTTCTCTTTTTTCAGACTCGGGAGTTGGTCGTCGGATCTTCCACGTGCTCTACACAGACTGCATCCGGCAGTGTAGTGGGCCTCTGTACACGGTAACCTGCCAGCTCCCCAGCCCCTCTTCCTCCACCAGCTCTCTTCCTTCTGGAGGGGTTAGGGGTGAAGCTGAGGGCCCAGGGTGGAGACCACCAACTGACTTGGGCCTTCACACTTTTCTCCCTGTCGTTCTTCTCCTCTCAGTCCTTGTGTCTCTACTTCCGTCTAGGACCGCATGGTGCTGCTGGTCATGGGCAACATTATCAACTGGTCACTGTGAGTCTGGCAACTATCTGTGGTAGCTTGGCTGGGTGGACAGGTGGGAATTTGGCCAGCCACTGGGTTCCTTGGGGGCCACAGACAAATTGTAAGCTTTGGGCATGAGAAAGGGCCTGACAGGAGAGGTGTTGGCACCTGCCGTTCTAGAATCTTCTATAGGCACATCATAATAAAACATAGGGTTGGGGTAAGGCCAGGCCCTTCTTGCCCTTGCCCTCCCTTGCTTCACCAGCCTCCCTCCCCATTGCCAGGGCTGCCTACGGACTCATCATGCGCCCTAATGATTTTGCCTCCTACTTGCTGGCCATTGGTATCTGCAACCTGCTTCTTTACTTTGCCTTCTACATCATCATGAAGGTGAATGGGGATGGCTGAGCCTGCTTTCTGCCTTTTGGGGAGGGAGATGGGCACAGTCTGCCTGGGGCAGCACTGAGATGGAGAATTTTCCCTTCCCTCTGTCTGTGCCAGTGAGGTTTGAGGAGGGGAGAGGCTGATGTCTCTTGCATTTACCCCCTGGGAACCAACTATATCCTAAGAGCCACTTACTGTGCACCTTCAGATTCTGAGAATGTCCTGTGAAACTGGTAGTACTTCAGGCCATAGTTGGTAAGAGCCCCATTCAGTGCAGAAGGGATTGAGGAGGTGGGACTCAGGGAGTCTGTGGCACGTGTGGGTCTCCGAGGGCCAGGTGTTTCCCAAGGGACCCTCATGCCATCCAGTGCGAGAGGAGCCTCCTGCACAGGGAGAACACCCTGGCCAGTACACCCTGCCAGCACAGCATTCTGGGCATATGGAAGCCCAGCCAGGGTGGACATCAGCAGTGCGGACACCCGGCTGCTAGTGTGGGGACAAGTTGAGCCATGTAACCATATGAGGTGATAGTATGAATTCAAGAAGGCTTCCTGAGTGCCTGGGAAGGCAGCAGGAAAGCAGCCTCTAGGGCAGGCCAGGAAATGGGGTAGGGTGGGGCCTGGCCCTCAGGCTGCTCTTTCCTTCCTTCCCCACCCCTACTCGCAGCTCCGGAGCGGGGAAAGGATCAAGCTCATCCCACTGCTCTGCATCGTCTGTACTTCAGTGGTCTGGGGCTTTGCTCTCTTCTTCTTCTTCCAGGGACTCAGCACCTGGCAGGTGAGCCGTCAGCCTGCTGAGAGTTTGGGGGAGTCACCCATAGGCTCATCTTGGGCTAACACATGGCCAGTTTTCTTTTCAAACACCATTTGTGAGCCTTCCCAGGGTGAGCACTTTCACAGCAGCTGCCTTGTCTAATCCTCCTACCATTCCACATGCATGGTGGGTCCCCCTTGTACTTACGAGGCAGCTGAGACTCAGGGAGGCTGAGGGACCTGCGCAAGGATACACAGGTGGAGTGGCATAGCTGTGGTTTAAAAAGCCGGAGATGTCAGGCTCTGTGTACCTACTAGGGCACCTGCCGTGGATCAGGTTTCAGTCCTGGGATCTGAACTAAAGCTGGTATGGGCTCTGCCTTTGAGGCACTTATAATCTAGTTCAAGAGAGGGACTGTTCGTTCCTGGCTCTCAGTTTACAATATGATACACCAGATGAAGGTAGAGGCAAGGTGAGCAGGGGAATGTCCAGAAGGGCAATGGACAGAGGCCTCTGTGTGTTAGGAGGTCCAGGAAAAGTTCCTGGATGAGGCAGGTCTTGCGCTCGGCCTTAAAGGCCTTGAGTGGTGGGGAAGGCTTGGTGGCCCAGAGATGCAGTGACCAGTGTAACAATACAGAGGCAGAACTAGGTGGGGAAGACTTGGGACTCAGTGAATGTACTAATTTGGGAGCCACGTAAAGACTGAGCTCCTTGAGGGCAGGGAAGGTCTTTCTTGGTCCTCTCTGTGACCTTAGCGTATGACACAGACTACCCCCAGATACAGAGTGAAGTTCAGCCAGTGTTTGTTCAGTAGAAGTCATAGACCTTGAGTGCCACAGGTCATGGCTGCTGTTGGGCTTGGGCAGGGCTGTGTTATCCGACAATTGTACTTTGGAAAGAAAATGAGCCTGAAGGAACCTTGGAGGCCTGATTAGAACAGAGGGCAGAGTCCAAGGCGGGGACTGAGTTAGGAGGCTTTGTGGCTTTCTGGTGTCTCAAGGTCATGTCAGCCCTCTGCTCTTACATCAAGGGAAGAAGAATCTGAGGGGAGGAGGGTCAGTGTGAAAGAAAGGAAAGGGCAAAGCAGGGAGAAATTTGTAACAAAAACCAATCCTTAGATGTGGGAGATGGAGACAAAGGGTGAAGCAGAAACAAAGTTGCTCTCCCACCTGGGACTGTGGACAGGGAGAGCCCTGCAGTTAGGGGGGTTGCCACGGTGGTGTCAGTGGACTGCTCTCCCTGTTTCTGCCCAGAAAACTCCTGCTGAGTCAAGGGAGCACAACCGGGACTGCATCCTCCTTGACTTCTTTGATGACCACGACATCTGGCACTTCCTCTCCTCCATCGCTATGTTTGGGTCATTCCTGGTACGTGAGACTCTTCTGGCTGAGCAGGGAGGGTGCATAGAGATACAGGCTGCCCCCTTTCCTGTGCTTGACTTGACATCCACCCACCAGGTATTGCTGACACTGGACGATGACCTGGACACCGTGCAGCGTGACAAGATCTATGTCTTCTAGCGGGAGCCAGGCCCCTTGCTTCACTCATGGGGCCCTGAGCTCCTCTGCCTCACTGCTGGAGTCTGTAGCACCAGGGGTGTGAGTCCCAGGCCTGCTACCCAGAGCTGGGTGGCAGCAGGACACAAAGGCCTAGGCCAGACCTGGCCCCGGACAGTCACGGGGTGGCCTTCAGCCTTGCGGCTGTGCTCTGCCGGGGAGGATGGCTGCTCCCCCAAAATCCCAGCTGTTGGCCAAATTGCTGCTTTTTTTAATCAGTGTTGGGGCCTTTCAAGGCCCCTGTCCTTGGCTCTCCATTTGTCCTTCTACAGGAGAAAGTGGGGGAAGTGTTGCCCTGCTCATCTCATGCCTTGACTTCTACCTGTCTTTCCCTTCTCCCCCAGCCTGGGGCCCAAAGCCCTTCATTCCTCAGTCTGGGGCCCGATTCTTTGGCCTGTCCTAGGGCTCCACTTCTATTTGGGGTTGTACCGGCCTGCCATCACTGCCCGCTCTGGTCAGCCAGGATAGATGGGATGTAGGACTTTGGGAACTGTCCAGGCTTATGGTGCTAAAACCTCCAAAGGGCCCTGGATGGCTCTTTGGCAGTGAGGATCAGCTCAATATGTGAGAACTGCCTTTGAACTAAGGGGCCAAAATCAGAGGTCACTGTCCTGTTTCATCAGCCCCCAGACTGATGCTAGCCCCAGGATTGGAAAGAAAAAGCAACTCACCCTCTTCCTTCCTTTTTCTTTCCAGGCCCTTAGTCCTGCCAAGCCCCAGCTGGGGGTCTTTCAGTGCCATTGACATTGCCCAAGAATGTCCGGGGCAAAGGAGGGAGGATACAAAGAGCCCAGCCCAATCTGCCTCCTCCACCGTCACAGGAGCCCCAGTGCCTATCATAGAAAGGGGCTCAAGAAAGGGACATGACATTTCCCTCTGTCCCTGCTCGTCCGAGCCTCACTCTAGGACCCAGGGCTGGCTCCTGAGTTCCGTCCAGTCTTCAGCCCAGTTTTTTGTTGGCCACACACATGCGTACATATGAACCTTGGAGTTTACAATGAGTCATCCTAGCTTGGGGACCCCTGGTGGCTCTGGTTCTGGGGTCCCCTTTGTCCTACCTGGTCCATTCCAGATGTCAGGGTTGGGAGGTCAGGTCAGGCCCCTGCCTCGCAGATGGGAATGTGGGGGAACGTTTTATTCTCCCCAGTTTGTTTATATAGCCCTCCTGTGGGCTGGGGAGAGGAGGTGGGCCTGGATCTTTCTTCAAAACTCCATTTAATGTTTGTCTCCCTGCTATGGTTGCATTTCTGTTTTCTATGAATGAGTCTGCATTCAATTAAAGAAACAACAGACAGTTCTTGGACACTGTTTACTCCTTTTTTCCGGGTGTAGATGTTGAGAATGTGGGGTAGGGCAGGGGCCTTACATTTTCTAGTTCTCCTGGTCTACCTGTGTCTTTTCCAAGTCCCAGTCCCATTGGGAAGAACAGTTCCTTGACTCCCTTATGTCCTTCCTCTCCTTTGAGTGGTGGCATCAATTCAGTAAATGTTTATGAGAGACTTGCTCCATGCCAGGCACTGTGCTGGGCAGAGGCTAGAGAAGTGAAGAAGCCTACATCATGCCATCTCACTGGAGATGCCCCAGCCCTTTCTGGCAAATGGCAGTGACCTCTGTCCACCTGATCCCTACTTGCCAGTCAGATGGCTTCACCTCTGACCTGAGCCCCTCCCAGCTCGGCAGGCTGCAGGCACAGCGCTCCCTGACATGGCTTTAAAGGACAGGAACATGCAGGTCAAAGCTGGGGCAGTGCTCAGGAAGCGCAGGATGATGACTAGTGGGTGCATGGATGACAGACGGGGCTCCAAGAGGAGGGAGTGTTGAAAGGACCCTGGAAGGTTGATTTATATTACAACAGGCTAAGGAGGACAAGATGTGGAGGGCAGGGGAGCTGGTGCATTCAGGACACAGGCAGAGGTCCATGGGCAGCTCTCTAGCTGATCCCCAGCTCCTTTTGTTTTTCCTTGCAGACACCTGTAGGGAGCACTGTAGCTCCATGCACCACTAGCCTGTGTGGACTCGGGAAATTCTGTTGAGTGCATAGTAGAGAGAGAGTCAGCTTCTCCCTGCCAGGCTGTCCTAGGGTGATGAGGGGCAGTGTGCCTCAGAGGGCAGCCCAGAGACCCCTCTGAACGTCTCACCTTTGTTACCTCCTGTTATCCCTTCTTGAGACCCCTGAGCTAGGTACAAGCAAGATACCAGTGGGTTTCCTTCCTGGAGTGAGGGAGTCAGTCTGCTTTCAGGCTAGGTAGGGACTATTCCTAGAGGGAGGGAGGGATGATTGCAGCATCTGAGCCTCTTGCCCCAGTGTTGGTGTCTCAGGCCCTGCCAGGCCTTAGAAATCCTCTAGATGGGGACCAGGGTTGACAACCGCTCCTGAACCCTTAATTCTCACCGTCAACTAAATGTAACTCAAGACCCTTCCCAGCTGAAAGTTCTCAACCCGATCAGGGTGGTACAGCTGAAATGGTGGGTCTGACAGCCTCTCCAGCTCCCACATGGGTCTGCGGGGATGTTCAGGTCCTACCACTCACAACTCACCCTGTGGCCTTGGGTAAGATACACTCTGAGCCTCAGTTTCCTCATCTGTAAAATGGGGATGTAATTAAGCCCTCACAGTGCAGCTGTGAATATTAAATGGGAGCATTTGCAAAGCGTCTGGCATGTAGTCAGTCCTCAGTAAAGGTTGGTTCCCCTCTCCAACTGGAGCTGAAAGCCCTGGAGGAGAGGGTGGCTTCTTTGTCCTCCATAAACCTGAGGGATGGGCCTCCCTTCCCCACGCCATCCCCAGCCTCTTTCCTCTGTCTCTGGCCAGGCCCTCTTGAATTTTCCCCTCCCCTTAAACTCAGGGGGCGGGGGAAGGGAACAGTGACGAAGGAGCAGCCCTAAGTCCAGACAGCTGGGAAAGCCTTCGTGGTCCTGTCCATAAAAGGCTTTTCCCGCTGGTTCTCCACTGGCAGCACAGCCCCGCCCCACCCGCTCCATCTCCAAAGCATGCAGAGAATGTTTCAGGCAGTCCTGGCAGACTGCTCCAACTTGGTGTCTTTCCCCAAATATGGAGCCTGTATGGAGTCACTGGGGGGTCTGAGGGTGGAGAACGAGCCGTTTCCTCTAGCAGGGAGGGGGCCATGGGGTGAGTCGGCAGGGGAGGAGGGAGCTGACATCACCACAGCAGCAGGCCTTTAAACCCCCCACCCAGACAGCGCCCCATGCTGTCTGTCCAAGTCCAGACAGAGCTGACTCCTTCCTGCGAGCTCTGAGGAGCCCCTGTAAGTACCATCTGTCCCAGAGTTGGAGGGAAGTTGGGCTGGAACTTGACATGAGCAGAGGGCGTATTGCAGGCAGGCAGGCCTGGGGGATGGGTCCTGGTCCTGGCTAGGGGAGCCCACCCTCTCAGTCAGTGTGCATTCCTAATCTCCAGATGAGGAGGTGGTCCTAGCAGATGGGTGGAATGGGATTGGCAGAATCTCGTATTGCTCAGACTGGGCAGCCTTGGGCTCACTGAAATGCCCAGGATGACTTGGCTGGTGAAGAGGGATTGATGGCAGAAACCTGAGAACTGGGGCGAGAGGGTATGTGATAGGCTCAGGGTGTCGTTGGGTTAGACTGTATTGTCTGTTGCCTGTCTTGGAGGATGTCCAAGAAGGTGAAGAGGTGTGTGAAGACACCAGTGTTGGAGAGCAGTATCCCACTGGCGGGTCCCCAAAGCCTGAGAAGCATGGCAGATCCTCCGGGCAGCCCCTGAGGCAGTGGAAAGGACCACAAAGCCCTTATATTCTGAAACACGCTGGGGTGGCAGAGTGCAGGGATAGGTGAGAGCTGATTCTCTGGGTACGCAGCTCCCTCCAAACACTGAGTGGGAGGCCACCTCACTACAGGCAGAGGAGCGGGGAGTGGGCACTCCAGGGGTTCCGAGTGATGGTCTGGGTGGTTCGGTCAGGGCTGGGCAGGCCTGGAACCCTGGGTCCTTCCGGAAGTGTTTGGCTGGTTCCTCTCAGTGGTTGCTATTCAAAGGGTAGCAGAGAGTAGGACAGCTCTTCTCTGTCCCTGGAATTTAGATGAGCCCTGTCTCCTGCCATCTAGATACACAGGTGCCCCTTCCTACTTGCTGTGTTTTATTTTGAAGAGAGAGGGTAAACAGCAATCCCGGAGAGGCCCCTGGTTCTGCTGGTTTTTCCAGGTTTCTGCTCGGAGGAGGTGCCCCCTGACCCTTCGCAGCAGCTCCAAGCTGAGGCTGGGGAGGTCTTTATCAGAAGGCTTGGAGGGATTTCTTGGAACTCTGCACTGTCAAGCTCTTCTCCAGGAGGGAGCAGGCTGGGGGTGGAGGTGTGTGCATTTCATCCCTCCCCACCCCACCATTCTGATCAAAATTCAAATATTGTCTCTAGATCTAGAGGCTGAAGTTTTTGTGGCCTTGCCACTGTGAGCCTTGATACATGGGCTGTCCTGAGTATCCTGAGACTGAAGGCTGGGGGCGGGGGCACTCTGCTTCACGGTCTCGGTGCCTGGACCACAGCGAGGCATACCGCCTGCTGGGGATGGAGGGTGAAGCTGAGGTGGGGAGGAGGGAGGCCAGGGGTGCAGAATGGCTGAAATCACTTGTCTCTGCAGACTGGTAGGTTTTGGCTACTGTGCTTTGCCCAGGAGGCCTTGGGTGATGGGAGAACATGGGTGAGGCACAAAGCGGGGGATGGGGAAGGGAGCTTGCTGTTTGCAGCCAATGGGAAAGGGTACGGGTGCTCAGAGAACCCTGTTCTCAGGTAGCCCAGCCTTGACTTTACAAATAAGGAAACAGACACGGAGAGAAGTGAGTTGCCCAGCCGCTAGAATTTAGCTGAATCCATCTTGTGTTGTCCTTTCAGGGCATGATTTGGAGAAGGGGTGGAGCCTGGATTAGGAAGAACATTTACTGTGTTTTACCCCTCAGTCAGGGGCTGGGCTGGCTCTCCCAGGCCACTCCCAGGAGAACGGCTCTGGGAGGCAAAAGACTGTCATTTTGAGGAACTCTGCTGAGGGACAGGCAGCATGTTAGATCATCACAGTGTCTTATGGAATGTTCACACAGTCCTCTGAGGTAGACACCATTATGCTCACTACACAGGTGGAGAACTCTAGCTCAGAAAAGTTGTCAGCTGTGGGGAAAGGAAGAGAAGGGCAAACGGAGTTTGGCAGCTGGCCCAGGATGGCGTGAAGTGCTTCCCACAGTGGTGGGCGTGGAGAGGGTCTCAACTCTGACCAGAGAGGGGGTTGGGGGAACATGCTGACTACCTTCGTCCTCAGACCATCCTCTCCTCATCTTCTGACCTCTCTGAGGCCAGGGATGGGTTTGGCCTCAAGTGGTACCTCTTTGGAGGAACTCTGCGCACCACCCCAGGTTGATACCTGTGGCCAGGTTAGGTTCCTCTTGAGCAACCACAGCCACGTTTGCCTAGTGCCCTACCTTCCTGGACCTGCTCGTGCAGCCTTCCCCTTCCCTTAGTGGGGTTCTCCTGAGCAGGACCAACCCCAGAGCCTCCGGGCAGCCTCAGACCAGCCCCAGAGCTGCTGTTTCTCTGGACAGGCAGATTCTTGGCTCTGGGATTTCCCTGCAGGACTCTGGCTTCTTAGTTACTCAAGTTACTACAGTGGCGAGAACCTGGGCATGTGGGGGAGTCCACATGTATACCAGTGTATCTCTTTTTCTCTCTCTCTCACCTCATCTGGCTCCCCTGAGGAAATGCAACTTCTTGGCCAAAACCTCCTGGGCTTCGCTGTCTTTCTAGACCTTGACAAGGGTGGATAAGTTTGAACCTCTTCAGCTGCAGGCCAGAGGCTGAGCTGACCTGGCAAAGCACTAGAGTTCTGGAGTTCCCACTTCTGGGCTAGAGAAAAAAATGAGGGGAGAAGGAAGAGATGGAGGCAACTCCATAACTTGAGGCACAGCCAGTAAACCACCTCATGCCTAGCTGGACAAAGACACCTGCTGGTTTATTTGGGGGTAGGAGGGGTGGGATGTGGCCTCCTCCAGAAGGCCTCTCCAGTACCTCTATGGCCACTCTTGGCAAAGAAAGAATGCTCTGGATCGAGGATTGTTATACTGGCCCATGGCTAAATGCAACCTGCTGCCTGTGTAAATGAAATTTTATTGGAACAAAGTCATGCTCATTTGTTCATGTTTTGTCTAAGGCTGCTTTTGTGGGGCAATGGCAGAGGCCATATGGCCTGCAAGGCTTAAAATACTGTCTAGTCATTTACAGAAAAGTTCACTGACCCCTGTTCTAGACTGCCAAAGATCCGGTCTCCTGTCCCTCTGGTCACCAAGTTTGGAGAGGGCCCTGGACTGAGGGGATGAGCCTGGCCCCGATGAGCAATGCTGTGAAAACAAAGTCAGGGAGCCAGGGGAGAAAGACAAGCACCTAGGGTGGCTGGGCTCCATAGACCTAGACCTGCCTGACACAAGTGAAAGCAGGGCTGTTTTCTAAACCCCTAATCTCTCTCTTCTCTGGCTGGTGCTGCTTAAGCTCTCCCCAAACATGGCCAACAAGGGACCTTCCTATGGCATGAGCCGTGAAGTGCAATCCAAAATTGAGAAGAAGTATGACGAGGAGCTGGAGGAACGGCTGGTGGAATGGATCATAGTGCAGTGTGGCCCTGACGTGGGCCGCCCAGACCGTGGGCGCCTGGGCTTCCAAGTCTGGCTGAAGAATGGTGTGGTGAGTGGCACCCTGGGAAGAGGGTTGGGGCTCTGCCATCCTGCCAGAGTTGTAGGGCAGGCACTCTGAGTCAAGTGCCAAGCTGTGTTCTCTGCCCGGCAGATTCTAAGCAAGCTGGTGAACAGCCTGTATCCTGATGGCTCCAAGCCAGTGAAGGTGCCCGAGAACCCACCCTCCATGGTCTTTAAGCAGATGGAACAGGTGGCTCAGTTCCTGAAGGCAGCTGAGGACTATGGGGTCACCAAGACTGACATGTTCCAGACTGTTGACCTCTTTGAAGGTACAGAGCAAAGAGGTGGAAGGGGCAAGTGAAGGACAGGTGGTTGAGGCAGGTAAAAGGAATGGCCAAAGCAGGCCCCAATGATGGGTGTGCATAGCAGGAATGGGCTATGCCAAGGGAAGACCACGCCGCACTCACAGGGGCATACCATGGGGGCCTTCTGAAGCCTCCTTTGATTCTGGGATAACTTTTGCCTCTGAGTTGGCTCTTTTTCTGAGGTGGGATCAGGCCCTGCCTTGGGAGTCTTGTTTATACAGTCCTGAGGGTTGTTTGCCTTCCCTCTTTCTTCTCACAGGCAAAGACATGGCAGCAGTGCAGAGGACCCTGATGGCCCTGGGTAGCTTGGCAGTGACCAAGAATGATGGGCACTACCGTGGAGATCCCAGCTGGTTTATGAAGTACGTGGCTACTCTATGCTTGGGTCTCTGCATGAGGAGGGAGGTGGCCTGGGCTGACCTCTTAGTGTGAGTGATAGCTAGGAAGGTATGAAGGTCTACCATAGGGAGAAATGGGTCCCTAATGCTTCTTGACACTTGCCTTTCTACCCTCCTGCGCTCATTCAGTCTCCCTCACCTGTGGGGCAAGGTAAAGTCATGGATAAGAGAAGGGAAAAGGATCAGGCTAGGAAGTAACAGAGCGAACAGAAAACAGATGGAAAACATGCAGTCCTGGCAAGTTTTTATCCTTGTTCTTTCTCTTCTAGGAAAGCCCAGGAGCATAAGAGGGAATTCACAGAGAGCCAGCTGCAGGAGGGAAAGCATGTCATTGGCCTGCAAATGGGCAGCAACAGAGGAGCCTCCCAGGCTGGCATGACAGGCTATGGAAGACCCCGGCAGATCATCAGTTAGAGGACGAGGGCCAGCCCCCAGCCCTGCCCTTCCCCAGCTCATTGGCTGCAGCCATCCCGCCTAGCCCACCTCACCCACACCTGTGTAGTCCTTCAGCCCCAGCCAAGCTTCCAGGCTCCGAGGCTCCATCACTGAGCAAAGGGGACTGCGCTTTGGCAATTTCCCCCCACCCCTCAGCCCAACTTCTGACCCCAAACACTGCTCCTGGACCTCCTCCTGGCTCCCCCGCCATCTCTGCTGTCTCTCCCCATCCTGGGCTGAGCAGGGGGCGTTGGGCTGGGGGTGGCCTGGGTGTGGGGCAAGTCCACTGTCCTTGGCAGCACATGCCCATTGAAGGAGACCCACAGCCCAACCTCCCCCCCATTTTTTGCTGGAATATTTTTGGGGTTGAAATTTAAAAAGGAAAAAAATATACGTTAATCTTTTCTCAGGCCTGGCTGGCAGAGTTTGATTTACCCTAGTCATTCCTGTGTGGTTCTGGGACATAGGAGCAGGGGACAGGACCACCTGCATGGTCCTGGCCAATGTCCTCTGAAGAACCCCTCGCATTCCAGGATTCTGGGGTGGGGAGGGGGTCAGGGTCTTTCAGAGGACCAGGCAGTGGAAGAGGAAAGTGGATCTTGGTGGTTGCCGGAAAGGAGTGACTTGGCAACTTGCCTTAGCAGGGAAAAGGAGATGGGGAGCAGCAGAATTGAGTGGAAGGTTTTTATTTTGGAAAAGCTGTGCAGAAAAAAGTTCAACAAAAGTTGCTGTGAAAAGAGAAACCAAATCTTAAGTGTTAAAAACCAATTCAAATCAACAAAGCAGCTCAGAAGACGGGAGGAGGCCAAGAATGGAAAGGAGAGTCACAGCCTGTCAGGCAGACAGCTGGCCTCTGGTGGGTAAGGCCATTTCCCTGAGCACTTTTCAGAGGAAGATAGGGTGGTCACAGGGCTGGGGGTGGCAGTGGTGGGCACCTGTCACAGTCCTGTGCAGACTCCCCTAGTGAAGCAGCATCCCTGGGGGCCATGCCCACCCCCAGCTTTGCCAGGAGCATCATACTGATCCTTCAGGATGAAGGGTAGGGGTGATGGTGAAGGAGTCAGGGGTATGTTCCTAGTTGGCTTCTGATGAGGAATAACGGAGGCAGCTGCTTTTAGGGCAGTGTGCTGGGCTGAGGGCCGACTGCCATACCAGTATGTCCAAGGTCCAAGGCTTAGGCAGGAAGGTTAGGGAGAGGAAAAGTCTGCTGTTCCCAGGTCCTGGGTCATTGGGACAGGCATATCCAGGGGCTCTTCCCGGCCATCACTTCTGAGCCCTCTTCCCATGTGACTCCAGCAATGTTTCTGCTGAGATGCTCTTCTGGCCGTGACAGGCACCTTCTCACCGTGCATCTATGGCCCATACCACGAACTTGCCCAGGAGAAATGAGGAGAGAGGCCTGCCCAATAGGGGACAGGGAACGATCCCTTGTCTAAGGCCTTTTCACCTTAAGCCCCTGTTCGGTTAGAGGAAGATCCTGGGCTGTTGCCACACTGTTCTCTGGCACCATTCCCCGCCACTTGTACCTTCAGAAAGCCCTGGCCCTCCCTGAGCAGTCAGAGGGTGCTCTTTAGCCTTTGGATTTCCGAGGTAAGCATCAGGAATGCCTTCTCCCTGGGGCTTCTGGGACTTCGGAGCAGCTTTCCAAGCTTCCCCAAACGGGGGAAGGAAGAGCCTGTCTCATGTTGAGCCTGTCCCATGTTGAGCCTGTCAGGCCCTGGGTCAGCAAACCTGCTCCTCCTTCCCCTGCAGCAGGTCTAGAGACATATGCTGATGAGGGCAGTCCAGGGCACTCCTGTGTTGCGACAGGCTCCAGTCCCCTTGATCCAGCAGGTCTGGGGCAAGGAGACCAGAGGCTGGGGATGGGCCTCCACGCTCTGTTTCCACTCCATCTGGATCCTTGCTGTTGCAAAGTGGCACTGATTCTAGCTCTGTCCCCTCCTCCCTGGCTTTTCGGCTTCTCTGGGGCCAGCGGCAGGGTTCACTCCTACAAACTGGGTGAGAGGCCATGTTCCTCTGGCTCAGGTATACTTCCAGCATATAGTAAACAGTCCAGAAGACAGTAAAACAGCCGACCAGCACCAGGGTCTGGAGGGAAAGTCCACCACCTAAGTTAGGGACAGTTTCCCAAAGCCTGTAGCCTTTCTCAGCCTGGAACAGTGAGCTCAGAGAGTCTCTCCTACTAGGGACCGCCTCTCCCACCCCAATCCACTCACCTACATACAGAAGAAACACCCTCTGAGAGTGAGCTAGCAGAGGGGGACCCCAGTCTTCACACCACCCCTTTCCCCATCACCTTGAGTATCCCACTAAGGACCAACTCCCCCAGGACACACCCCCTGCCTCTAAGGTGAGTCTTAGCTCTAGTACCTTGAGGGTGTTAGGGGTAATGGTGTAACCATCTTCCTCGGGAATTTTCAGCCCTGGAGGGCAGGGCAGAGTGAAGCCATCATGCAGGTATTGTCCACTCATGGCACCTTCTAATAGTCTGTGGAGAGGGAAATGGACAGGATTGCCCTGGTGAACTGGGTATCATCTCTCCTCATCCACCCTCCGCCCTCATAGCTGAAGAGAGAGAAGCCCCCCAACAAAAAGGGGAGGGTACGCTGTGGGTTGCCAGACAGGTGGTGCACCCTTAGTGGCATCTTTCCCCATCCCCATGAGTTGCCTTCCCTCTGACACATGTGTCTACACCTACCTTTGTCTCTCTCTGATGTCTACTGCACTCCACACAGAGCCATACAGGGTCAGCTGCCACTGCCGGAGGGTGCCAGCCGGGAGTGTCTCATCTCCTAGGCAGCAAGTGAGGCGATCCCTGAGCCCTGCCCTCTGCTGGCCCTGCAAACAGCACAGGCCCTGCCTGCCCTCCCCCTAAAGGGACCGGACCACATGGTCTGCTGCAGGAGCTGTCTCTCTCTGTCCCACTGAGCCTGGGGTTCTGCCGTCTGCCTCCCTGGGTCCCCTCGGGAGCGGAAAGGGGAAGGTCAAAGGGTGGTTCTCCAAAGCAGGGAAGTTTTGTCCTTATCTGTTTCATATTTTTGGGTTTCAGCTGGAATTTTGCTTGGAAAAAAAAAAAAAAGTCCTACTAAATTAAAGGTTTGAAAACCACCAGTCTAGTGAATACCTCGCTTGATGGGAAGTTGGGAGGGTTGAGTTCAACTTCTAGTCTCCTCACTGAAATACTGCGTCACCTTACAAAAGTCATTTCAAACCTCTAGGAGGGCCTGTTTTTCCAAAATCATCGTGAAAATTAGTCCTGCCCTTACTGCCTACCACAGCTGGCCGAAGGATGGTTATATGGGAAAGGACTTGAAATGTGGTTTCAATATGGAATTTTTGTTGCTATCCTGAGGAAAAATGGATCAGTTACTTCTCCAAGAGTAGGAGAAGCAGTATAAATGAACAATTTTAGATATCGGTTGCCCATTTTTCTGAATGGGGCTTACTTTTTGGTATCTACCCAGCTGGCCCAATGGCAACACTATGTATTCCACATGGGACGGTTTCTGTGGGGACTCAGATCCAGTGCGACCAGGTGACGCTCATGCAAGGCAGGGACCTGACAGAAGGGTGGGCACGCTCACCTACATCCCTGACAATGAGTCTGTAAGACCCTCTTGCCCTTTCCCCCCAGCATCGCACAGTGGAGAAGGTCCAGTCGTCAAAGCCGTTGGGATCCCTGGGGGAAGGAACAGAGCGGAAGATCAGGAAGGCAGGGACCAGGGAACTGACCCTGCTGCCCAGACACTTTCCTTTCTCCATGTAGTAGTCATGAAAATGTAGCAGCTGTTGCCTGAGCTACAGCCATTTGGGAGGATGCCACGAGGGGTCCTCACATGCTGTCCCTGGCCCTGGAATCTCATAGGATGAGGGACTTATGTCAATGTGCTATAGTGGAAAAAGCAAATGTGGGACAAGCACAGCCTGGGGAGTCTGATAGGTAGGTTTATTGTTACTTCCTGAGGTACTTACTAGCTCTCTGACTTATTTCCTCATTTGTAAAAGGCAGTTACAAAGGCTACTCTGCATGGCTCTTATAAGGATTAGAGAAAATATATGTAAAGTGCTGTGCTGAGCACATTGTAAGTACTCACACAGAACCTGTAATAAACGGCTTCCAGTTGCCAAGGTCAGCCAGTGCCATGGTAACTTAGGACAGCACCAGTGTCCAACTCTTGATTCCTTGAAAAGGCCCTTGTTGCAAAGAGAGTTCAGAAGGTATGGGCACATATACGTACGAATCCATGCTGCGAGGGGGACCGATAAGGGACATCATGCCGCTGGGGCAAAGGAGTTTCAGTTCTAAGTTGCCACGTCGTGGATGAGTGATGGAGACTGTCACTGCCACATGCTCCAGGGTCTTCAGCCCCGACATCTCCAGGTCCATCCTGCTGACTGTAGGAGGTCAAGCTGGGTGGCTGGGAAACCAGCCCCAGAAACACTCACACCCCTACTTCATCCCAGCATACACAAGGCACATGCTCATTGAAACTACATAGGAATACCCATGGCGGCTCTGAGCGGGGCCTCGTGTATGCAAATAAGTGGAATGTAGTGGCTGCTTTCAAGTACTTTACAATCTAATTTAGAGTCTAGTTGAGAAGACAATATTGAAGGCACAATATAAGAACCAAATTGAGAACTTCAACCATTCATTCATCCAAAAACATAATTTATCAAGTACCTCCTACATTTCAGGCACCGTACTAGATGCTGGGACTATAAAGCTAAGTTGGACATGGTCTTTGCCTTCTACATGCAACTGCAAAATGACATAGCATGAGGTATACATGACTAATACTAAAACAGAGATCTCAGATAGGTGTAGGCAAACAGCAGTGAGACACTCTGAAGATGAAAATGAGTGCTGATTGGTAGAAAGGGTGGTAGTGGGTATTCTAGAAGGGGAAATGGCATGTACAAAGGCAGAGGTGGAAATGAACGTTTCATACAGAATTTAAGGAAATTATGCTGAATATAAAAGCCAAAATCAAAAGGATACATAGTGTATGATTTCATTTATGTAATAGTCATATATCACATAACTGCAGAGATGGAGACCAGGATTTAGCGATGGGTCAGAGGGGACGGGCGTGGCCATAAAGGGTGACATGAGAGAGTATTGTAGGGTTGAGACTGTTCTGAATCTTGGTTGTGGTAGTGGTTATACAAGGCAACACATGGTAAAGCTGCTCACACTCACAAGTGCAGGTCTAATTGGTGAAATCCAAATAAGCTAAAAGCTCTCTGAAATCATAGCAATGTCATTTTCTTGGTTTTGATATTGTATTATTATTTAGGACATTAACATAAAGAGAAGGCTATCTAGAACTTCTCTGAACATTTTTGTAACCTCCGGTGAATCTAAAATTATTTCAAAATAAAAAGTTTAAAAAAAACAACAAAAGCTACTGAATAGAAGACTGACTTGGGGAATATTAAGAAATTGGGTTGCAATGAGAAAGAATTTCTTCTAAAGCACACTTTTCCCCATTAATTTATTCTAACAGGCAAGGCAGAGAGCAGTACTTCTATTTTACAGATAATAAAGCTCAGAGAGGCACTGAAAGTTGACACAGGAGGCCGACCTACGATGAGAAGAGCTTTCAAACTTTATTTTAAACAAGCAAGCACTATTATAGACTGTTGAGCAAGAATATAGGGGTTTTTCTTGTTGTTGGGTTTGGTTTTTTTTTTCAGTGCTTAAGGAAGGTTACTCTTAACAGCTCTTGGTAGGAAGAACTGAAGTAGGAAGGAAGGAACAGGTGACAGGAGGCCAGCTAAAAGGCTGCCACCTTATTCTAGGGCTGAGGCAGTGTGAGCATGGATAACTATGACTGAAGAAGAAAGAGGACAGGAAAGGCATGAGCCTTTCTGTGACACGGTTTTCTGTCCTTCCCAGATCCTGTTCCTACCGAGTGCTGCTCAGTCCTCCTCTCACCACATTCACAGAAGAGTCCCACCCCCATTATCCACTATGACACCAGTGTTCATGGGGACTACCTATTTAATGTCATAACTTCGTATTTTTTAACCTCTTCAGATCCAGAGACCTTTTTCCATCCTATATCAGCACCCACTTCCATGAGCAGACCCTGGTCCTTGTCATTATCTGAGACCCTCACTTCTGAATACTTTAGTAACTTTCACTGTGGCTTTTACTATATTAGCAACACAAATTAATTGAAGACAAATTAGAAAAGTAGCTGAGCAAATATGACAACGAAAAAGCTCTCACAAATCTTGGTAACATATTGGTAAAAATCCGTCTAGACTCCTCTTTGCGTATGTATGTGTGCATGGATTTATTTTCTTTAAATCTATCTGTCAACTCTTCAAGTCAATGTCCCACCTTCTCTGAAAGCAACATCCTGTCCTTCCACCTTCCTTACTGCTTCCTTGATCCTTTCATTGTCTTGTTCTTCAAGAAAGCCATCAAGCTCCTCTTTCCAAACCAGCTAAGACCTCACAGCTCATCTCTCCAACACTCTCTTGTGTATGCTCTCAATCTCCTTTGCTTTCTTTTCCTCTCACAGTAACTATATGGCAGAAGTCCAATGCTGGGTCAGCCCAATTATCCATTGTCTTGGCTAGTTCTTTTTGCTTACATTTTTGCTACTACAAATGAAAAACAAAAAAACAAAAACAAATAAACCCTTTTTTAACTCTTAATTTCCTTCTACCGAGTGTTAAGAGCTGGGACTCTGGAGCCATCCAGCTTTGGTTCAAATCCCAGCTCTGCATTTACTAACTATGCGAATTGGATTAGTTTCCTTAGGTATAAAATAGGAGTAGTAACAGTACTTACTTCACAGAGTTGATAACTTAGTTAATAATCATAAAGTAATTAGAACAGTACCCAGTAAATGTTAAGATTATATAAATATTACATGTTATTCCTTTTCTTTGCTGTTAAAGCTTCTTGAAAAAGATGTCTATGTTTACTATCTCTAATTTTTACTCCCCCATTTATCCTTGCCATTTTTTTTCTATCAAAACAGTTAGTGTACATGGTTTTAACAAGTAAACGGATTCTTTTTTGAGAACTTTGAATATATTTGAACATACCCAATGTGGTCTGGCTTCCAGCGTTTCTGCTGATAAGTCAGAGGCTTATTTATTGGGCTTCCATTATAAGTAAGGAGTCATTTTCCTCTTGCTGCTTTCAAAGTTTTCTCCTTGTCTTTCAGCATTTTTACAATGATATCATTTATATTTACCTTACTTGGACCGCTTTACATTTATCCTAATTGGAATTCAGTTCTTTGAGATTCCTAGAGGTGTAGGTGATGTTCTTTAGTAAATTTGGGGAGTTTTCAGCCATTATTGCTTTGACTATCTTTCTACTCCTCTCTGTCCTTCTTTCCTGGTACTCCCATTACATGTATATTGGTTCACTTACCGGTATCCAACATTTCTCTAAGACTCTCTTCATTTTGTTCACTCTTTTTTTCTCTTTGTTCTTCAGCTTACATGTCTATCTTCAAGTTCACTTTTTCTTATTCTACCAATTCGTATCTACTGTTGAGTTCCTCTAGTGAATGTTTTATTTTAGTCATACTTTTCAACTACAGAACTCCTGCTTGGTTCATTTTTTATAATTTCAATCTTTTTATTGATATTTTTTCTTTGATGCAACATTATCATCAAATCTTTACTTCTTTAATCATAGTTTCTCTTATCTCTTTTTTACATGTTTATAATAGCTACTTTAAAGTCTTTTTTTCTGATAAATGCAAGATCTGGTCACTCTCACAGGCAGTGCTGCAACCAAAAGTCCTATAATCCAGCAAAGCTATTCTTTAAAAATGAAGGCAAAACAGGTACTTCTAGATAAACAAGAACTAAGAACTTGTTGCCAGCAGACACCTCACAATGAATATTAAATGAAGTTCCTTAGGTTGAAAGGAAGTGATCCCAGATGGCAATTCAAATTCAAAGAAAAAAAGAAAGCACCAATAAATGTAATTGTTTCCTTACAGAAGACAGTTTAAATGAATAGTATTTCCATTTCTTAACTGATTTAAGAAGCAATTATATACAATAATATATATACAATGTATACAGGAATGTGCTATATAAAGGAAGTCAGTGGGAGCAAGGCTGTATTGGGCTAAGAAAATGGATACAGATGGTAAAATAATCATGACAGTTTATTACTGGGTTTGTAACAACAGATGTAATATTTATAATAACACACCAAAGAACTGGGTAAAGAAAACACAGCTCTATGGGAGTAACATTTCTGTATCTCTGGAATTAAGCTGGTACAAATCTGAAGCTGATTTTGCTGTTATGATGCATATATTAAAACTAGAGCAATCAATGGGGGTAAAAAAGTAAACTGGCTCTGGAGGGTGTATAATGTAAAAGAGCAGTTCTCTACCACGTTCCTTATCTCCTTGGTTATCCACTCCCCAGAAGCAAACACTTTTTATTGCTTTTAGTTGTTTTCTTCTGGGAATCTACTTTCATATTTCTAGGTAATAAGCATGTATGGCTATTTCATGGTTTATCAATAAAGGCATCATTTATCAACTTTCGGTTACAGCAGTTAAGGATTTAACACCAAGCCCACATCTTCCCTCTACCTTGCCCTTTCCTCTCCCTTCTTAAAATAATTACATCACAACTTTTGGTTAGATCAATATTTCCTTTACTATACCATGATCTTATATATATATGGAATTTAGTCAAGTAGTGTACAATGATTGTTATTTCATTTCCTGAACAATTTGTTTTTCTCTCTAGAGTTAATAATTGCCCTCTTTTTTTAGTTTACTTAAACTCATGTCCCTATCAGTACTTCTTACCAAACTGCACAAAAGATCACTTAACTTCTCTGATGCTTCAAAGAAGTCAGGGGTTCCCTCAAGGCCTGTTTCCCACTGGAAAGTCTCTCTCTGGAACCTTCTGTCCCATTTCTATCTGTTGTACTGCTACTGGGTTAGGACCTTCCTTTACCTCTCACTTGGGCTTCACTTCCTCTCTGTTCTCTCTCCCTTTCCTCCCCTTTCCCTCCCTTGCTTTTCTTTCTTTCTATCATTTTCTTCTCTTGGTTTCCTCTTCATTATAGAGGAGCACATCTTTTAGCAGTTTTTTCAGAGAAAAGAACATAAGAAATACTTGCACCTCTGAAAACATTCTTATTCTACCTTTCCATATGATTATTAGTTAGGCAGGGTTTATCAACTGAAAACAATTTTCCTCAGGATTTGGGAGGTATTTGAAGCATATTTCTTTTTCTTTCATTTTTTTAAAGACTATTTATTTTAGACAGAGGGGAAGGGAGGGAGAAAGAGAGGGAGAGAAACATCAATGCGTAGTTGCTTCTCGCCCGCCCCCTACTTGGGACCTGGCCTGCAACCCAGGCATGTGCCCTGACTGGGAATTGA